ATTGTTATCGATTTTATATCATGACTGGCAAGATCTATTATCTGCATTGTTGCATTTTGTTTGTTCCCGTTAGACCTCTTAGGTATAGTTTTTCATTTTCTAGTTAATCTCGCAGATAACATTAAAACGTCGTAAAGATGTCTTGTAGATAAGAAAACGTCTGAAAGATATCTTCGAGGTGTCTTTTAGACATACATGTTTTTTGGCTTAGGCTTAACCGGATGATAATGTAAAAATTATGTTCTTCCGTTCATGGTTAATCATTAAACTTTAAAGTTATCAATGCAGAATCATCAGTTTAATGATTAATCATGAATAGAAAAACCACAATTTTTGCATTATCATGAGTTTAAATTTAAACTGCAAGTTAACTAGAAGATGAAAAACCGGGTCTTAGAGTTCACCTGCTTCTTTTACGAAGAAAGGCATAATACCCAATACGGATAATTTAAGTTAAGTAACAGATTATCTATGCTCGGTATAAAATATGTATAATGATTTGCTCGATGTACTCCATACGTCATTACCTATTTTTAAAGCGATCATTATTAAGCATTTATTTCTATATTCTTAGCCTATTTTTCCTCTCTTTTTTTCTTTTCATTTTAGCTACTGTATTTCTACGGACTTCCACGTTAACTGTTGGCCTCAACGCGTACATACGAGCTCTCGAAGTAATTTAATTTACTCTTTCAAATTGATACACAGATATTGTACTAGAGGAAATTATTTCTTCCCGTTGATAAGTGTGAATAAATAAATAAATAAATTTATATCATTCGTGCGTACGTTTCCGATTAATTTTATTACGCTGCTCGTTAAAATGTCAGTTGAAAATTTTGCGAAAAGTTTTAAGCGTCAAAACTATCGGTCTTCCTTGGTGAATTCCGGAGCACATTTATAAATAACCATCGGGCATAATAGCGCGTTGCACCCACGAGCACCCGTGATTTATCTCCGAATCGTGCGCATCTGAACTCACTGCATTTCGTCAGCGTCACATTTCCGCATGCGCTCGCAGATCACCGTATCCATCGCGACGGATGATGTCGGTCTTACGTCTCGCGATCGAGATGTAAAGCACATCGCGATCGCGTCGGCTGCCGATTTGCTTAGAAAGCTTCCGTCACGTCGCGTCGGCGAGGTATAAACAGGAATGTTAGGCAGGGTCGACGACACGAGAGTACCGGGGACCGGTTTTCGAGGACCTCCGTGAGCTCCGCGAGTCCTGCTTGGAAAAAGAGGACAAAGCCATTTCCGTTTCGTGTTCTCCCCCCACCCCCTCCTCCTCCCCCCTNTCCCCCGGTTCGCGACGGAATTTCGTGAAAAGCGCGCGACTCTCGTCGCGATGGAGGCCGGACGACTCGTGGTTTTGCACGCGCGAGAATGCGCGGATCGCTTAAATTTCCGTCCGGTTCGATCGTATCGTTCGATACCTCGTGCAACGATGTCAAGGAGAAAAATTATAAATTCCTGTGACACGAGTCAAGCGTTCTTGGTTGAGATTCCTCAAAGTGCTCGTTTCTCGATGACACACTCGAATGGCTAATAAAAAATATGATTATCAAAGAACGATCTGTAAGTTTCTCGATTGGGCTTGGGTGTTCTCTTTGATTCATGATTCTTCCGACATAACCGTATGTATTAGCGATATCCGACTCATCATGCGTTGAAAATTTACCCTCACTCGTTCATTAGACGATATGCTCCTGAAATACACGCTGCAAAGCTGCAGACGGACCGCACCTAGTACATTGAAATCGATCATTGAAACGAACGAGCCACGTGATGAAGTCACGTAACGGAAATAAAGAGATGCAGAGGCCACCGTGGAAATATCCAGTGTAGAAATACGACGTAATTGGGACATTTTGGTCCACTTTATATGATACGAATCATTATCGGTAGATCGTGTCGTGCGGAAGACCGCAGCGACGATGGAGCGCCGCGACAGGAATGTAAGGAGGCATGATGAGTCGCGTGATCCCTTTGGACGGATCGTCCCTGCAATATTAGTTAAAATTAATCAAGATAACCGCGGATTTTGCTCTTCCCACACGGACAAAATCGCAATGGAACGTCAACGGAATAAATCAAGCTGCAATTAATTTACCCTGGTCGAAATTCTGCGCGTTTTTTTCGACGTTACCATTCGTCGTCGTCGTTTTTTTGCAATTGCAATCGCTTCTCGCGCGAGCAGGTGCGAAGATACGTGAGCGTCAGATCGGGAAAACCTCATTCGCAATGCTCACCTCTCGGATGACACGCGTGAGTAAGTTGCAAAAAACGTGAGTGTGGGGGAGGGAAGGAGGGACTTTGTTCACCGACGGGGTCCGTAATGGGGAAAGTTGCAAAAGTGTACGGCAAATTAACGGTGGAAGTTACACCGTGTAGAGAATAAATAAACTCCGGGTACCGGTTCCGGGTAGCTTCTTCCACGAAGCGTGACGCGAGTAAAGCCACGAGTAAGTCCGCGAGAGCCCGGGGAAAGCGAGAGCAAACGTGTGAATCACGATATGGGCAGTTCTCTGGCGGTTCTTCAAGGCAGTTCGAGTCGATGATTCGTCGCGACAATCTTTGAAAGAGCTTTATTAAATTAATCCCTCCACCGGTGAAAAACAAATATTCATTTATTGTTAAATTAAGTTCTAATTACTAGGTGTTGACAGATTGCTCGAAAATTAAATGTTCAAACAGTTCGGCCAAACGTTGCATTCATAGCAAGGAGGCTACGTAAACTTAATCCTTCCGCCAGTAAATAAAAAATATATGTAAATATAAATATAAAAAATCGAGCGAAGACGAGAATCACGACGACTGTGATGGTATAACGTCGAGAAAATGCGCCGTCTGTCGCGAACATGTCCAGATTGGGGCTCGATAGGCAGGCGCGGCTAATGATCCTCTTGAGTAATTGTCCGGCGGTCTAATGATGATGTGAATAATTCGAGTGGACTCGCGCAATTAAGCGCGCGTCATCGCGCTCCGGCGTTTAATGGCAGGCAGATAAAGAGAGGCGAGGAGCGCTCGTTCGCGCGACACCTACGCGGTCTCTCTCTTTCTCTCTCTCTCTCATCATCACAGTCGCATTAGATGGATAAATGGATGGATGGGCTGCGAGCAGTGGTGTTGCCTGCAACTGTTGCAACGATATCAATGTTGGGCGTTTACGCGTATAAACAACGATAATTCACGTCTTTTGCGCGTAGGTGAGAATTATCTGTAATACGCGCACGACGCACGCAATTAAGGAGATTGCGGAGCTCAGTGTCGTATTTTCAGTGGCGTATCAAGGGAGCTCCGCTCATGAATTCAGTATTTATCGAGCAAAATTACGCTCCTATACTCCTTTATTTCACCGTACGGGGAAAAAGTTTCGTTCGAATTCGCGAGACGGTGAACGAATCAAACGGTCTTTTTCCAATTGCACGAGCAGTTAGACGATATTTCAGTGTATACGTTCGGCCCAAAGTTTCATCGAATTCTTATCAAACTCGCCTTTCGCCTTACGCTCGCTTCGGGCTCGACCGGGAATTCGCTCGGCGGAGCCCGCGACAGAGTTTCGCTGCTGCGAGAACGAGACTCGCGGAATCGAAAGTGCATTTATAGACGTTCGCGTGTGCGCGAACGTCTAAAGTTTCGAATGTTCCCGGTATCATGCGCCACGGGAAATTGCAAATAGACTTCTGTCCCCGGATTCTGTCGCGAATAATAGATGACGTTCAGCGCACGGTCTTCGCAGGATGCTGATGCGTCGTGTGCTCTCGTGCACTCCGAAAGGTACTGCGCGCGCTCTCCGCTGATAAAAGGTTAAATAACTTTGCTCCGTTTCGATATTGCGCGCGAGATTAAGCGTCCCTTCGCTAATTAGCGTAGGAGTCTATCTGCCGCTGTGAACTCGCGTCGCTTATTCGCGCGCTCTCTCGCTGCGACGACGCAGAACGCTTTTTCCGTTTTCCAACTGATACTTCCGCTCCTAGAAATCAACGCCCGCGCGTTCAATTGTACCTGTGATTATTCGATCGGGACGAGCGGAGAGAAAGTGACTGATTTGGAAAATTGAATGAATGATAACGCGAACGAATGTGAACATCCAGGGTCTTCAGCTGCAAACTTCGTCTGCGGCGCACAGACAAAACAGACTTCGCTCTCGTGATTGACGAGGACCTAAATCAGTTAAGCCGTGTCGAGACGTGTGCCGGAATGTTTTCGCAGATACGCTCGCACCGGCGAATATCGGAGCCACTTTTGCGATTCTTTCACGGCCGGTCCCACCGTCCGAGCAGGACAAATTCTCGGCCCGGCTCCTCGGAGGACGGCGGCTCGTTTCGCGGAGGATAGAGAGTCAAGGCTCCCTCGGTTTCAGGACCACCGGTCGCAGCGCGTTAGCACTCTCTGAATGCACATGCGTACACAGGAGAGAAAACGTGCCGACAGGCGAGAGAACGAGCGAACGGCCGAGAAAGGGAGAGCGGGCCGGTAGAAGACGCGGGAGAGCGGCCGAACGAGAAGTGTTATCGATCTCTTTCTCTTACTTCGCTCCCTTTCTCTCTCGCTCGCTCGCTCTTGCTCGCCGGCGTGGTGAACGTGACGTCATTGATCTGACATTCCATCGAGCTTTGCGGGCACATTCGTACTTCGCTTCTTTCTCGCGCTATCGCGAGAGAATTCTCGGAATCAGCCATCAGTGTCGGCGGAAACAATGCTTTCCGAAACAATTAGGTCATAGAGCGAGGAGCGCGAATTCCCCTCCGCTGTTATTTGCCGCGGAAGAAACTTTGCTCGGAATGATGCGATCGCGAACACACGATCGTGAAACTGTCGGGTCTCAGTGATTAGTTGGCGAATAACGCGAAGGAAAATGTCTGGACGAGAAGCTCTAGCAGTTAACCGTACCATTTGTAGATTTCTCTTTCGATATCGGCAATATGGAATGCCTGACATACGCATACACACACACGCATACAGTGGCAGTCGATAATCGAAATCGTTTGTTACAGACGTACTCCGGCCTCTTCTGCGTCGTGGTAAACCCCTACAAGAGATTGCCGATATACACAGAGAAGATCATGGAGAGGTACAAAGGCATCAAGAGACACGAAGTGCCGCCGCACGTATTCGCCATTACCGATACGGCTTATCGCTCTATGCTACAAGGTAATGGCAATTAGAAATTTCTATATATATGCTACTCGTTACGAAGTCGTTACGAAGACATTTGAAAGACCTGTTGTCTCGAGCATTCAAATACATACGTATTTCGGCGCAAAAAGGATTAGCATCAGTTTCCTTCGGTTTCAGTAGCGAAGCTTACAAAACGCACATTCGTGTAAACCCTTTTTAAAATCGAGAAAAAAATTCCTCGAGCTTAGAATATCATTTTCTAGTAATTCTAATATTTGTTGTCGTGTCGTGTTAACACACACGTCGCACGTAACGTCACATGAAAAATAGGTGTTATTTTAAGATGACGCTTTGCAAACTTGAAGATTCTTACACGGAGAAAAAAGATTGGTTGAATCAATATGACAATGAACGAATCAAATGCGTTTTGCTTGGAGGGAAACCGAATTTCTGCTTTTCTTACGAAGTAAATTTGGTCTTCGGAACCAGAAATTCTGTTTCCTTCAGCCAAATCGCCTTTGGTTCGTTCACGTTATTCGTCACGTTAATTCCATCCATTTTTTTCGCCGTGTTCGATTGAGAATTGAAGAAATAGGTGTGTCAATAATAGCAAACTGCTGTAACGTTCATATTAAAATACTCCGTTCAGTCAACAATCTATTCTACTTAATGTTCCACAGTTACTAAATATTTCATGCCCGTTGCAGATCGCGAGGACCAGTCGATTCTCTGCACCGGTGAGTCTGGCGCCGGCAAGACCGAGAACACGAAGAAAGTGATTCAATACTTGGCCTATGTGGCCGCCTCGAAACCCAAGTCGAACGCGGTAAGTCAGCTCGCTCGTCGATTAGGCCCGCTTGGCGGTTTCCGCCGCGGTGAATCCATTGTATTTCACGCACGCGCTCGCTCGGCGAAGACACGCGTTCGCGATGAATTGAGCCGCCGCGGTTTATACGAGCCATTTAACCTCTCGATACACTCCGGAGGAAATCTCGTTCCTCGTAAACCTCGTAAACGCGAACGCTTCCCTCTCTGTTGCCCGACAGTTTCCTGAAGCGCACGAGCGACCTCGTCTCCGGAGATACGTGATATCTCAGATCTCAGTTAGAAAGTGGAGTCTTCGTGACATAGCGCGTTTTCAGCAAGGTAACATTGAACTTTACCCATTGATCCATAAGTCAAGCAGCTTTGACTTATGGAAATTTATTATATATTTTCTGATTTTTATAATATCCAAAAGAAAAATAGAGTTTATACATCGCATAAAATTGTCACGTTAACCGGTATGTGTGGGAAAAGTTTCGCAAATATTCTACTAATATGCGAGTCGTTACTGCGCACATTTCGTCGTTGGAAAGATGTTTTGACAAAAGGAATTATTTTCTCACAGTTTCGAGTATTTAGACAACACGCAGTACAGTTACAAATCTTTGTGGTGTTCGCCTCGATACAGCACTTCCAACGGATAATTACGAAGAATTTTTCGAGCCAGATAACCGTATTTAGGTTTTAACGTTTGATGGGCATACGATCTGTCACTGTTAAAAGCGTTGGAATCTCGCGTAATCGAGTCGTCGCATTCACCGCAACTGCGTCAGCCTTCTCGAACTTCGGAAAACCTCGTTACCGCTTTTGCTCGCTTCCGTCGCCGGAAATGTAACCTCGATATCTATATCGATATCATCCTTATCACGGTTCACCGACGTGACCACGAATTCCCGATTCGTTTTAAAAACGAATTCCTACCTACTCTACGACAAGAAACCCGACGGCTCGCACGAGGCTCATTTAAAATCGATCGTGTCAAATTATTTCAGAAGATCTCATATGTCCCGCCGAAGATCTCATATAGCGTTCGGATAATTAATCCCGGAGTGGCGCGTTATTTTCTCGTCAGATAATTACTAATATGAAATCCTTCGGGCGGTAAACGTTGCTTTTAACCTTCTTGTTAATGGGCACCCATTTAGAATTGCGCACGAGCCGTCCAGACATCTGCCAAACATGTTCTATCAGCGCGGAGCAGGTATACCAAGAGTCTTTATTGTTCGGCGACTTTCTAGAGTGCACTATAGAAAGGAACCTCCGAGACTTAACAGTTTCTATAACGTCGTTTCCACAGTGCCACGTATTGAAATACACGGATATTCGGGACATTGACGGGAATGTGAAAAATTACGGTTCGGTAGAGTTAACTGCAGAAAATTCCCGAGTCAGGTCACAGAAATTTCCTAATTTTGACGAAAACTTGACGTTCCTCCTTTTCTCGAGCCAAGTATCGCCGTATATTTTCCTCAGAGGAATTTTAACGGGAAGGAATTTCAACGAACGCGGCGATTTTTTTCATATTCGTGCCGAGGAGGAGACGCGAGCTCGGTTTGAGAGCCTCTGCGGTACAGGTTTGTGTACAGTGGCTTCTTTGTTCTCGCGCGTTTCGCCGGGATACTTGAAGAGTATAATCCGAAGCACATCGCGCGAAGCGCAACGTTATTAATAAGTCGAAAATAACGTGCCATTTTTTTTCTTTTGCGAATCGCAAATTGCGCAGAACTTTGGATAAAGGCGGACGGTGGAACTTGAGAAAGTGTAAGGAGCCTTCAGATGGTAACGCTTATCCATTCTCCAGAATTCTTTTCTCCGTTGCGCCAAAGAGGCGCCAGAATTGGCGCTTGGATCGTCCCGAGAGCCTTCGTAACCACGTTTGTAAATTTCACATAAGTCACGTGGTTAATTTTAGCGGTCACGAGGTCGGATAAAAGTTTCAGGAGAAACAACGGTGACCATATGTTGAGCGTAAACAATGTAATTTAATTCCCTCGCGGCCATTAGAGAGATGATGCACGGCGAGGGTCCGTTTTAATAAGTGGCGGTACTTGTGATAACACGCGTGTTGTAGTTTTGGGAATGCGCAAGATGGAGGCTTCGAAGAGTTCTCATCTCGCTCGGTTTGACTTTTAAATGCAGATAAGCGATCTCGCTTCTCCCCCACATCTGGAAAGGCCGAAAACGGAACAGAAGGGGAGAGAGCGTTACAGGGAGAATTATGATCTGCAAAGGAGGCCTTTGCTTCTTTCGAGGATTCGCGAGGATCCCCTCCTACCCGGCAGAAGGTCGCCTCGAAAGAACCTTAACACATTTCCGATTACCATAAGCCGCGCTCGCGTTACGACTCAACGACGGGCGCTTGTTTATACGCCGATTAAGCCCAATCGATCTGTATTGCGTCACGCACACGTTACCCGCGACAATCCCAAGCCGGGGAGAAGAGAGAGAGAGAGAGACGTGCGCATCGTGCTCTCCGAAGGACCTCTCCTTTTCCAGACAAACGATCCACTTATCGGACCGAGACTCTTTCTGATTCTCTTGAGTCACGCGAGCCGACTTGCCCGCTTGCGTGACTCATCCCGCAAGTGTAGAATCTAAGCACATCGGCTTAGGCGATGGGGGAAAAAGAAACATCGGAGTGAAATTAAAATGTTGAAGAAACGGCGGAAGTGACCTGACGACTCAAAAAATCGGCAGGCGACTGGATAGCCTCCCGTTTCTCGCAATGTCTGCATCTTCTTTGTCGTCCGATTATCGCCAGTTCGGATTCTAATATCCACAAGTGGCGGGGAAATGCGATAGAAGTAAATGAATTCCGTTGCGACACTCGGTGATTGATTATCATTATCGTGCCTTGTCGCGATTGCGTCTCCCAGCCGACACAGTTAATTGAAATTCCCGAGTTATCTGTCCGATTTTTATTTATACGGCGTGTATATATGGCATGTAGATATATTGTAATGAGGATATACGTATTGCCTGTTCCGCAACTTGCGATTTTGATTTTAACGGCGGATCTTCCGGTAAATCTTTTTTCGCGGTTCGTTTTAAAAGATGTCGAAGCACCAATTTTGAATGAATCAAGGGAGGAGAAAATGGCTCAGGTACAAAGATACGTAATATTGAAAAGTGGAGAACTACGATCAATGACGACCTCCCTCGATATTTTTGTCAAAAAAGGTATCGATTCCAAATTACCCGGAGAATCCATTACTGTAATTAAAGTCGTGATTCGTAGAACACTTTGTACATGGCACGTATCTAATACTCTGCATAATAAATTCTAGCATATAGATCGAAATCAAGTCGTAGCAAATAGTTTCGATAAAGATTTATCGTGGAGTAACTTCTTACGTGGTGCCTTCTAATAAATTGAAGGAAAAAAAATCTGTACAAATCCCAATTTTAAAATTAAAGATAGAGAGAGAGAGAGAGAGAGAGAAACAAACGGTGTGAGAATTGAAGTAAACGGGTGTCAGTGAGACTATTCACTACGTCCCGACTTAAATCAGATCGCTCTATTTTAACGGTATCGATATTAAATAAATTTGTTAAAGTCATCTACCGGCCGGCTAAGAATTACTCGTCTCGTTGAACTCGGTCGTGCACGCACAAATCTCAAGAAGATCTGACCTTCCTCGGCGTATCAGATTTCTTCTCAATGTTCCTCTTCTTGACCGCCGATTGCACGGTATATTTATACGTAAAAGTGTATGTGTAAAAAGGAGTCTCTCTCTGTAAAACGAGAACACTCGCCTACGGTACGTCTGCATGCTATCGCATCGGCTGCATTATCGTCTTACTTTTGTTCACAGCCAGCACATTCCTGATCGTTTCGCATGCACAAGAGCAAATGAGCTCGCTTGTTTCGCCGACTCGTCATTACGAATGTTTTAAACGCGAAAACCGTTTAAACCCGATACCTGTCTGCCGAGTATAGAGGATATCGTAAATAAATTGGCAATTAAGCTCCAAATCGAATTTCAATTAAAATGAGATTCACGTGAAATCAACTGACAGGCGGGATTTAATTATCTGGACTACCTCTTCGACATTTAGCGCATTTTCGAGTAATTAACACGAGACCAATCTCAAGCCAATCAAAAATTACATTTAAAGCAACGATAAACCCTCAGCGCTGTGAAATATTCACTGTCTGCGTCGAGAGCGAATCATATGTTTAATTCGAATTCGGCAAAATCTAATGGCATTTATTTTCCAATCCGATTCGATCTAAATCAAAGCGAGTAGACTCGTATAATAAGAAGCATCGCTCTACGCATCGCGTTCGCCACGTTTTCATCGTGCGTGACAATTCGTTCGTACTAGTACGCGTGTATTTGGTGTCGACCATCGGTCGGTCGGCTCGGTTTTTCAGCCGTCGAGAGATGTAAAAGAATCGCACGGATCAAGGACGAAACGCGCAAAACTCGAGAGCCCCGATGGTCGACTCTGATCTAATGCTGGAAATTCTTTTATTTTCGGTGCTGACTTTTGGCGGCCGCCCACCTAGACTCCGAGCCCGGCATTAATCATAGTAAGTCAACGAAAGAAACAGAGACCCGGCACAGGCGACTGACGACGCCTGCGGTTCGGAGTTCTCGCATTATTTTCCCGCTTACCCTCCCCCTACTAACGCTTTTGATTACCGATTCGTATTCAACGGCGCGCTCGCCGTACCGAGAGAAAGAGATCGGAATACATCGTCGCGAGAATCGGGGATAAACGTCGCAACCGTCAAAAACGAAAATCGGGACAAAAGAATAATGGCCGAGTTACTTTGACATTATTCCATTTATATTGTTAATTATTTACGTACACGTACATGGATTGGATACTTTTACACGCGTGAATCGTACTATTTTTATAATTCGTCTCTTTTTCCTTTGGAAAAATGTACAGATGGTAACCATTCACTCGGTATTCGTAGGAATTTGTTATCGCAACATTCAACAATTCGTTATCGCAGCATTTAACATGATAAACGCGAAGGAACGCGTCGTTTTCGGAGAAACGCTGTTACGCGTGCTCGACGTTAAGTCACGATATATATTCCCGAGGGGAATGAAATTTTATATTGCATCTCATGGACGCGAGAGTTTTGCCTGTTGATTTCGTGGATACGTGACATTGAAACGACTGACAAAATATGATAACGGCGTATGAACGTCCCTCTCGGTACCCAAGCGTCTTCCGTGCGCGCGTAGATGTAACTTTTTTCACATCGGTCTTTCGCATTGTTGTACCCATCTCAGAAAAAAAAAAAACATACACTAATTGTCGCAAAATCTCTTTACGTCTCGTTGTTCTCGTGACTAACAGAGATTTCCCCCTTGCCTCTCTTCTTTCCTGCTGCTTGCTGGATCCAGGGATCTGGGAATGTCACGGAAAAGTTTGCGGTAATTAACGTGAGAAAAGGAGAAGGAAAGTGGGAGGAGACAGGACTAACACTGGTGTGGTGTCGTGATAAGTGTTTTTTTTCCCCCCTTCTACAGCTTGCTTTGTCGTCGATTGTCATCGTCATTCGTTGTTTCTTTCTCAGCCCCTCCCTTAGCCCCCCGAGACGCCGTCGCAGTTTAACAAGTCGCGAAAGTTAGAAATCGATCTTCGATACGCTTGATACTCGCAGTACACGCTTCATAATCGCAATACGTTGATGGATGACGTTGAGTCAGGGATGCGTGAAAAATTTCGTTATCGCGTCTGCATGTAGATTTATGGTCTCGACGAAGGGTCATGAAAAATGGGTCCGAATAACATCCCAACACTCGTAGACGGACGGAATGTTCTGCGTTTATGCGCAGACATTTGTGTTCTTTACGGCTCGCATAACAGCGGGTTGCCATAGAGAGAACCCTTTTGGACGAAAGTTTTCACGCAAATCACGTTCCTTCGATATGAACGAGCCGAATTGGTTCATGTTTTCGTATTCAAATGACGGGCATTTCGAAACAACCGGTTACGCTTCAAACATCTCTTTTACGCTTTTGCGTTTTTTCGATACCCATTTTTAAATAGCAATTATTGTGGCCATTACCATAATATCTTGTTATTTTCTTTTTTTTTTTATTAGCGCTGCCGAACCTGTTCGATGTTAAAACCGACGTTGCATTTTTATATTTTTTTGCAAAATATTTACAACAACTATATTTTATATTTTGCTCGATATTTTCGAGCATATTTTATTGATATCATAGTTTAATATTCATTTCATACCATTTTAACAGCATAATGTTTGTTAAACAAATTATGGCTGATAATGCTTTCAGTGTTTAAACCATCCAAAATTGTCATACCGAACATTTGTTGCTTGTACACCTATGTGTGTTATTAATTTTTGCTGTGTTTTATCATATTTAACATAGTTCTTTTTCGTATAAACAATATTCCGTTTTGGAGAATTTCGAAAATATAAGATCATCATTGCTATCATCCGCTTTGTACTGGAGAGAACAAGTCTCTCACATTATCGCATTGTTCCTTAATATATTCGACAAGTCATTTACTTTATTCCTCAATATCATATTTTTCACAATCAATGTCGAACGATGTTTCTCTGACAGGGTTCCTTATTAATGATCGAAATTGTTTCATCATAGGGAGAACTCGAGCAACAACTTCTTCAGGCGAATCCAATTTTAGAAGCATTTGGTAATGCAAAGACCGTGAAGAACGACAACTCGTCTCGCTTTGTAAGTGAAATCGATGATTCTTAAAATAAATATTAAAATATATATCGGTAATTTTAGAATCTGCCCTGTGCCTTTCAGCACGTCATCTCTCATGCGTTATCACCGCAACATATAATTAATGTAATTGTGATGCAAATATGACGAATATGTTGCAGGGTAAATTTATCAGAATCAATTTCGACGCATCCGGTTACATAGCTGGCGCAAATATCGAGACATACCTTTTGGAAAAATCGAGAGCCATTCGACAAGCGAAGGATGAGAGAACCTTCCATATATTTTATCAGCTGCTGGCAGGCGCCTCGCCGGAGCAGAAGAGTAAGTCGTCATAATAATATACACTCCAGTGTGTGCGATGAAAAAGTCACACGACGAAAAAGTGTACCATAAAGTCATCGTAATAATAATAATAATAATAATAATTTTCTGCGCGTCATCTCGTTAGAGAAAATGCGTTCGATGTTCCTAACCGCAACGTTTGGTATTTTCAGAGGAATTCATACTGGAGGATCCGAAGCACTATCCTTTTCTGTCGAACGGGGCCTTACCTGTGCCCGGTGTCGACGATTCCGCCGAATTCTTCTCCACTGTGAAATCGATGCACATAATGGGTATGACCAACGAGGACTTCTCGTCCATCTTTCGTATCGTTTCCGCCGTAATGCTGTTCGGCTCGATGCAGTTCCGCCAAGAACGGAATTCCGACCAGGCGACACTGCCTGACAACACGGTGGCCCAGAAGATCTCGCACCTGCTGGGCCTGAGCGTGACCGAGATGACGAAGGCCTTCCTGAAGCCGCGCATCAAGGTAGGCCGCGACTTCGTGACCAAGGCGCAGACGAAGGAGCAGGTGGAGTTCGCCGTGGAGGCGATCTCGAAGGCATGCTACGAGAGGATGTTCCGCTGGCTGGTGAACAGAATCAACAGGTCGCTGGACAGGACGAAGCGGCAAGGCGCCAGCTTCATCGGTATCTTGGATATGGCCGGTTTCGAGATATTCGAGCTGAACTCCTTCGAACAGCTGTGCATTAATTACACGAACGAGAAGCTGCAACAGTTGTTCAACCATACGATGTTCATTCTGGAGCAGGAGGAGTATCAGCGAGAAGGCATCGAGTGGAAGTTCATCGATTTCGGGCTCGATCTGCAACCGACGATCGACCTGATCGACAAACCTATGGGCATAATGGCGCTCTTGGACGAGGAGTGCTGGTTCCCCAAAGCCACGGACAAGACGTTCGTGGAGAAGCTGGTGGGCGCGCACAGCGTGCACCCCAAGTTCATGAAGACCGACTTTCGCGGTGTCGCCGACTTCGCCATCATCCACTACGCCGGCAAGGTGGACTACTCCGCCGCCAAGTGGCTGATGAAGAACATGGACCCGTTGAACGAGAATGTCGTCAGTCTGCTGCAGGCCTCGCAGGATCCGTTCGTGTGCCACATCTGGAAGGACGCGGAGATTGTCGGCATGGCGCAGCAGGCACTCACGGACACGCAGTTCGGCGCGAGGACCAGGAAGGGCATGTTCAGGACGGTTTCACAGCTGTACAAGGAACAGCTGGCGAAACTGATGGTGACGCTGCGCAATACGAATCCGAACTTCGTACGGTGTATCATCCCGAATCACGAGAAGAGAGCCGGTAAGATCGACGCGCCGCTGGTGTTGGACCAGCTGCGATGCAACGGAGTGTTGGAAGGTATTCGTATCTGCCGGCAAGGTTTCCCCAACAGGATTCCCTTCCAGGAGTTCAGGCAACGCTACGAGCTGCTCACTCCGAACGCCATTCCGAAGGGATTCATGGACGGCAAGAAGGCTTGCGAGAAAATGGTACGTGTCTTTGCGATCGCGTGTCTCGCTCGACGACGGGAAACCTATTCAATAGATAGACGTTATAAAGCTCAAGTAATTTGATGGAAATGTGTGTGTATAATTAAGTGACGAACAATTTCACTCTCTGTCGCAGATTCAAGCTTTAGAGTTGGACCCGAATCTTTATCGCGTCGGACAGTCCAAGATTTTCTTCCGTGCCGGCGTGTTGGCGCACCTAGAGGAAGAGAGAGATTACAAGATCACGGACATAATCGTCAACTTCCAGGCCTTTTGTCGCGGCTTCCTGGCCAGACGTAATTATCAGAAGCGGCTGCAGCAGTTGAACGCCATTCGTATTATCCAGAGAAATTGCGCGGCTTACCTGAAGCTGCGCAACTGGCAATGGTGGAGGCTCTACACCAAGGTGAAGCCTCTGCTGGAGGTCACGAAGCAGGAAGAGAAGCTCACGCAGAAGGAGGACGAGCTGAAGCAAGTGCGCGACAAACTGGAGCTGCAGTTGCACTCGGCTCAGGAGTACCAACGTAAGTATCAGCTGGCCATCGAGGAGAAGACTATGCTCGCGGAGCAACTGCAGGCGGAAGTTGAGCTCTGCGCGGAGGCCGAGGAGATGAGGGCGAGGTTGGCTGCGAGGAAACAGGAGCTCGAGGAGATCCTGCACGATATGGAAGCGCGTATGGAGGAGGAGGAAGAGCGAACCGCCGCTTTGACTCAAGAGAAGAAGAAGTTACAGCTGAACATCAGCGACCTGGAGGAGCAATTGGAGGAGGAGGAAGCTGCCAGGCAGAAGCTCCAGTTGGAGAAGGTGCAGTGCGACGCGAAGATCAAGAAGTTGGAGGAGGACCTCGCGCTTTCGGACGATACCAATCAGAAGCTGCTGAAGGAGAAGAAGATCCTCGAGGAACGAGCCAACGATCTCTCGCAGACTCTGGCGGAGGAGGAGGAGAAGGCGAAGCATCTTTCGAAGTTGAAGGCCAAGCACGAAGCGACGATCGCCGATCTCGAGGAGAGGCTTCTCAAGGATCACCAGCAACGCCAAGAGGTGGACAGATCAAAACGGAAGGTCGAGACTGAAGTCTCAGATTTGAAGGAACAGTTGGCCGAGCGGAAAACGCAAGTCGAGGAACTGCAGCTGCAGCTGGGCAAGCGCGAGGAAGAACTGAACCAGGTTATGGCGAAGATGGACGAGGAGGGCGCCGCCAAGGCTCAAGCTCAGAAGGCTCTCAGAGAGCTAGAGTCGCAATTAGCCGAGCTGCAGGAAGACTTGGAAGCCGAGAAGGCGGCTAGGGGTAAGGCGGAGAAACTGCGGCGTGACCTGAACGAGGAATTGGAGGCGTTGAAGAACGAATTGTTGGATTCTCTGGACACCACCGCAGCCCAGCAGGAGCTGAGGAGCAAACGGGAGCAGGAACTCGCAACGTTGAAGAAGAATCTCGAGGAGGAGACGTCGTTACACGAGGCCACGCTCGCCGACATGCGTCACAAGCACACGCAGGAGCTGACCGCGTTGAACGAACAAATGGACGCGTTGAAGAAGACGAAGGCGGCACTGGAGAAAGCGAAGGGCACCTTGGAGGCCGAGAACGCCGACCTGGCGACGGAGTTGAGGTCGGTCAGTGCGAGCAGGCAGGAGTCCGACCGTCGTCGTAAGCAGGCGGAGCAACAACTGACCGAGATAAACGCAAAACTGGCCGAGGTGGAGAGGAACAAGCAGGAACTGGCGGAGAAAGTAACGAAGCTGCAGCAGGAGGCGGAGAGCGTGATGCAGCAGCTCGAGACCGCGGAGTTGAAAGCATCCGCGGCGCTGAAGGCGTCGGCCACTTGCGAGTCGCAGTTCACCGAACTTCAGCAGCGGTTGGAAGAGGAGACCCGGCAGAAACTGGCCCTCAGCTCGAAGCTGCGCGCATTGGAGAGCGAGAAGGAGAGCCTGCGCGATCAGCTCGAGGAGGAGGAGGAGGCGAAGCGTGCCTTGGACAAGCAGGTGTTGGGCTTGAACGTGCAGTTGGCTGAGGCGAAAAAACGCGCCGACGAGGAGGCGGAAGCCGCCGTTGCGCTCGAGGAGGCCAGGAAACGTTGCACCAAGGACATCGAAGCTCTTCAGAGGCAGGTCGAGGAGCTGCAAGCGGCGAACGACAAGCTCGACAAGTCGAAGAAGAAGATACAGGCGGAACTGGAGGACAGCATCATCGAGCTGGAGGCCCAACGGGCGAAGGTGCTCGAACTGGAGAAGAAGCAGAAGAACTTCGACAAGGTACTGGCCGAGGAGAAGGCCGTCTCCGTGCAGTACGCGGAGCAACGGGACGCCGCGGAGCGGGAGGCGCGCGCGATGGAGACCAGGGTGTTGTCGTTGACCCGCGAACTGGACGAGCTCAGCGAGAAGGTCGAGGAACTGGAGCGGGGTCGCAGGGGTCTGCAGTCGGAGCTGGACGAGTTGGTGAACAATCAGGGCACCGCCGACAAGAACGTCCACGAGTTGGAGAAGGCGAAACGCGCCCTGGAGTCGCAACTGGCTGAGCAGAAGTCGCAAGTGGAGGAGCTGGAGGACGAGCTGCAGTTCACGGAGGACGCGAAGCTGCGGCTGGAGGTGAACATGCAGGCGTTGCGCGCTCAGTTCGAGCGCGACCTGCAGACGAAGGAGGAGCAGGCCGAGGAGAAGCGCAGAGGGCTGGTGAAGCAGTTGCGCGACTTCGAAGCGGAGCTCGAGGACGAGAGGAAGCAACGCGCCGCGGCGACCGCGCAGCGCAAGAAGATGGAGGCCGATTACAAGGACATCGAGCAACAGCTGGAGATGCACAACAAGGTGAAGGAGGACGCGCTGAAGCAGCTGAAGAAGCTGCAAACGCAGATCAAGGATTGCACCAGGGAGACCGAGGAAGCCAGGGCCGCCAGGGACGAATTGGCGGCTGCGTCCAAGGAGACCGAGAGGAAGGTGAAGAGCTTGGAAGCGGACCTGATGCAGCTGACCGAGGACTTCGCCAGCAGCGAGCGCGCCAGGAGAACCGCCGAGAACGAGCGGGACGAGCTGCAGGAGGAAGTCAACAACAATGCGAACAAAGGCACTCTCATGTTGGACGAGAAACGCAGACTGGAGGCGAGGATCGCCACTCTCGAGGAGGAGCTGGAGGAGGAGCAGTCGAACGCCGAGATCGTGATGGATCGCGCCAGGAAGGGCCAGATCATGATCGAGCAGCTGACGACGGACCTCGCGACCGAGCGCTCCACCACGCAGAAGTTGGAGTCGCACAAGACGCTGCTGGAGAGGCAGAACAAGGACCTGAAGGCGAAACTGACCGAGCTGGAGACTGCGCAACGTGCCAAGACCAAGGCCACGATACAGCAGCTGGAATCGAAGATTAACAGTCTGGACGAGCAGCTCGAGATCGAGGCCAAAGAGAGATTCGCTCAGCAGAAGATCAATCGTAAGCTGGAGAAGAAACTGAAGGATCTGAGCTTGCAGCTGGAGGAGGAGAGACGGAACTCCGACCAGTACAAGGAGCAGGCGGAGAAGGTCAACGTCAGGATGAAGGCGTTGAAGAGACAATTGGACGAGGCCGAGGAGGAGATCAGCAGGCACAAGACCATGAAGCGGAAAGCCCAGAGAGAGATGGACGACATGATAGAATCTCAGGAGGAGCTCACACGGGAGCTGACGCATCTGAAGAATAAATTAAGGTAACCTCTCGTCCGTTATTCACGAACGTTCCGGAGGGATAAGGCCGACTTTGAAAAGTAGAGAGTTGTTTTCTTTTCGGGGGGAAGCACGTAAGAGAGCAAGCGTCCCCGTGTCCGGGGGGGATGTTAAGTCTAACGAGAGGATACTACTCCTTTGGATTGCACAAATATATGTATTCTTTTGTTCTTACGATTTTTAGGCCATACGTATCTGTAATCTTAGGCGAACGTAATGAGGCGGTATTAAAGTAATTGTTTTGTCTTTGAAGGAAGTGATCAACTTCTGAAAATGTGTAGGTGTCAAGAGAGAAAAAACGATTGGTATCCTACCTGAGAGAGTTTTTTGCTAGGAAACAATCCCATTAGTCCCCAGTGTGCTACAGTGAGTGGAACGAGCTCTTTTAGTTAATTTGAAACCGCTAACCCCCCCCNATGCGTTCTTTCTTCATTTAGTATTTTCATTTAGTCCGTAATGTATATACATAATACCGTAATATAAACCGCCGGTCGGTGGTTTAACACGCGACACGCTTTCCGAAAAAAATCCTCCTAGAGTTTCCTCCGGAAGAACGACGCTGAGCTGCAGTTAGATATATTAAATATTTTCAATGTATTAAATATGTTTTAATATTAGATGTCACAAAATTGACTGAATATAAGCTGAAAATTGCGTGACTTTCTAAAAAAAAAATCACTGAAACATCGACTAAAGTAGTTTTTTCCTTTTTACTGAAATATCGATGAAATGCCAATGAAATGAGGCCAATTGAAAAAGAGAGAGAGAGAGATTTTCAAATGCATTTTCATTGTGTTTTCAGTTAAATATTTCCATCCGAGTTTTCATGCGTTTTTCCAGCAGCAACTTTGATCACGTGACCTATTTTCATGCCAAAATGAGCGTGTCGGACGGTGGTTCAATAATATGAAAAGGCAGAGCTTTTAAACTACCGAGCGGCGGGTAGTGTGTGCGCTTTCCCTGTTACTCGCGCACACCGTTTCATTCCGAGCACGACGGACGAGTCGCACGACTGACGCGACGTATGATTTGTTTTGAAGGCGCGGCGGTCCTCCGATCAGCAGTCTGAGCTCTTCCTCGAGGCTGAAACGCGGTTCCGTGCAAACCGGCGGCTCCGGCGACGACTCGACGACGCAGGACGAGAGCATCGACGGCGAGGAGAACGTCAATTGAGTGACGGAGTTGGCCCAGTGTGCTCTCGAAGCTCTGTGAATTCTGTACATACGTCCGTCGAGAGAGTGGTTGGCTTTTCCGTTCGACGATTCGGTAACCACACGTGAATCAACCGACGTCTCGCCGCGTCACTCCGCGAGTAACGACCAGCTCCACGATCAAAAAAATCAAATGTCACCTCGACGATTTCCCGCGGCGTTTCCGGTCTTAAGATTATTAATCGCGACGAAAGATAACGAAAGATCGCTCCCCCCCCCTCCCCCCGTAAGAGTCCAGCTGATTGACACACAGTAGTAGTACCGATGACGAGCGTGGTAGATAGATAAAGCGAGAGCCAAAGGGGCGCGCGAAGAAGCGAGAAAAATACGAGAAAAAGAATTAGCCGAATGTCGAGAAGAGAGAGAGGGGACTTTTGATACATTTTATATAGCATGAACGCAACGTTGATCGCGTATTTTACGTATATATATAAATATATATATATATATATATATAAAGAGAAAATGTGAGGGAGAGAGAGAGCGAGAAAGAGAGAGGAAGAGGATAAAAAGAGGAAGGAGGGAGAGGAAGAGGAGAGGGAGAGAGAGGGGTAAAATAAATTATGTAGAAGGAAACTTAATCATGATGAATTTATTGGGGGCTTATTTAACGAAAAACTTAAAAAAAGAGCGCCACTTTTGCACGGAGAGAATGAAAAGGAAAGAAAACGACACACCGAGTAACGGTGAGCGCACTTCTTTTTTTTTTTTTACTTCGACGTAGTCTCTCGCTTGATTTCCCCGAGCTGTCGGACCAGACCGGGACTCGCGAGATCCAACGGAGTCTTGCGCTCTTTGTTGGTTGTCGTCGGGTCCGCGCCGTTCGCCACCAGCAGCTTCGCCTCTTCCACGCGGTTCTCCTCGCAAGCGAGATGCAACGGTGTATTACCGTACGTGTCCCTCGGATCTGAAAGCGTTGACGACGACGACGACAGCATGTAAATGAAACGAAACGAGATTGTGCAGCAACTTCGGGAGAACGAGATAAAACTTGTACTTCTAGGTTACACAATCGGATATATATAGTAGATATATTTGATATTTTATATATTACTATAGTGTAATCGCGCCGCGTGCGTGAGTGCATTTCAATAACACAGAGACACACACACACACACACACCGATACTACTCACAACAAAACGCATGTTTCACACTCGGTTTCAAGCGCGTCCCCGAGCGCATCTTTTCTTCAACGCAGCTTGGAAAACGCGGCCGATGATTCGGTGAGAGAAGTTCTATGAATGAATTAATATAACAAGTTCTCTCTCATTGGCTTCATCGGCCGGATGATTTGACTTAAAAGAAAAGCCTGGTTAAAAGTAGTTAATTATCGGGCCGGTTTAATCAATTTTCCCAATTTAACCGATCAATTAAAACATCAATCGTGATCGGTTGTTTCTTGTCAATTCCATCTAACGATAAATGCGATTGGTCGATTCCAATGGAATAATCAGCGGGTCAAGTTAACTGGAGGTTGTGAAACTGATTAAAAGCCCGTTGGTTAAAATCGTTGCTTCGCGGTGTCCCGGGCTGCATCGAAGGAAGAAGAGTGTTCAGATCAAGTTTTGCGACCAAGTGTATACACACACATACACAGACAGATGCGTATTCCGCTCTACCTTACCTATATTCAAATTCTTCCCGTACTCTATGAGGAGCTTCACGATGGCCGTGTTGCCTTTCGAGGCGGACCTGTGCAGAGGCGTGGCGCCCCGTTTGTCCGCGATGTTCACGTCGGCGTCCTTCTCGAGCAACGCGACGCAGATGGACTTCCAATTCTTCGACGCGGCGTACTGTAGGGCCGAGTGGCCGTCGACCGTCGTCGCGTTCACTCTCGCTCCCTCGTTCAGCAGCGTGTTGACGACCTTCTCGCGACCGGCGGACGCCGCCAGGATCAGCGGAGTCATGTCTGTCTGCGTTTTACGGACGGGCCGTGTTCAAGCGGTTTAAACACATTAGATTCGCCTCCCGTTGCAGTAGGGTCGTCCGAGGATCGGCCGGCGGCAAACGAAACGAAAAAAGAAAAAAAAAACGAAGTCCTCTCGCGACTTGTTCGCGCGTAGAAAAACGACAAGCGAGAGACGATAAGTAATGCGGATTGTAACACACTGTGCGCGATGCATCTTGGGCGTTCGCGTTCGCTTTATACTTATTTTCTTATAAGTTTTTCTTTTTTTTTTTTTTTTTTTTTTTTTTTTTTNAGAGAAGAAACAACAAATTATAATATAATTATATGTCATCAAGTGTGTGTGTTATTAAAGATTTCCATCTTTCTTTCGATGCGTTTGCGATCGGCGACCGATTTCTTTGTTCCGACCGGGAAAGCGGATAATGATTTGTAAAACTTTGCTTGAGAATGCGTTAGGGCTTTGTTCACAATCGAGTTTTGCTCTTGCTAAATGTTTCTTTGAATCGATTGCAAATCATGGAACGTACCCGCAAGTTTTACGATTTTTTTTTTTGCCGAGAGAAAAGAGTGCTTGATAACTTTTTCAGAAACCATGGAAATAGACTCTATTTAAACCATCAATATACTCCCTCGAGCGTAAAAGAAAATACGTAATCATTATCAAATATTTTATAATAATGTATTTTGATAATAAAAGTTCTTTTCACAGTTGCATATAATTTCGCGTGTGGAAATAAATCTCCGTTCAAGCATGTTATCGATCGTTACGTTCGTAGTAATTTCATTCATTTATGAGAACAGAACTGTGTGAATATATATAATTTCAGTATGAAGTAGCCGAAATTTTGTGCGCTTGTGCAAGTATAGCATGCAACGACTTGCTTACGTCATCCGTGGGATCGACCGGTACGATGCCACCGTCGAGAGAAAGTAAATGTCGAACCAGATCATCGTGACCACCCAGCGCCGCCCAGTGTATCAGCATTCGGCCGTTCTGCAAGGAAAGTGCACGAGCTAACCTTAAATAGTTCGGATGTCACGAACCGACGACGGAGTGTCACGATGACAATACAAACATTGTCCGTTTGTGTCTTCAGCCTCTCGTTCTCGTTCAGAAGGATCTTCACGGCTGCGATATTGCCGCGATAAGCCAGATCGTACGGTGTCACCTCTTGTTGGAACATTTTCACGGATTGTCACTCGTAATTTGAAACAAATGAGATCATTCGCAAATTATAAGACTCTCTATGTTCCCGGAGAATAACGGGTCTAAAGGATTGTTGTGAATATGACATTGGAATCGGGAGCGCTACTAGGGAGAATTCATACCTCGACAGAAAAGCCAGCAGCCAATCGGAGCTCCTTGTCGAAAAACGGCATGTTGATTGGTTATCGCGTGAACTTTCGTCGCGCGGCAAGCGTTGCTTGTCGCTACTTGTTGAGACTTTGAACTGAAATTTATTTATACGATTTATTTATTCGGATGGGTCTAAGGTGAACACTAACGCTGCAGGTTTCGCCAGTTTCTTCGAATTTAATGATTTTTTTATTGTCAACAATTCAATGCATGATTAACTATATTGGTTACAAATACTTTAATAGAACAAGAAACAAATTAGAAACGCTGTTTTATCTCGAGGATTTGCCTAGAACTAATTAAGTTGATCAACAGTATACGATCTAACCACGCTAGATGTAAACGGCAACTCTTCGACAGAAGTATTGTAACGAAATCGACTTGTGACCACAGGAACTCCACTCAATCGGCACAACACGTAGTCTTCTGCTGCCCATTTTGTTCGGAGCCATCGGATCGTTTTATTACGGAACTCCATAGACTTGCTTTCTCGGCGGATTTGGAATGTGTGGCCTTTTCTGATTCGATAAAGGTCATACTACTTTTGGACCAACTCATTATTACTAATCATATTATTTTATAAACTCTTCCACTGTGGCGCATGCCTAACCAAATTAAGAACAGGATCTCCCTTCAAAAAATCGGGTTCCTGAAACGTGAGAATCTCGCACGTACGCTTCAATGTGTAGCGCAGCTAGTTCAATTAGAAAGAAAAAAAAACTGGAATTATTGATTGATCTCTGACTATGTAAATTTTCGTATCATAGTTTTTACGCGTAATAATTTACACGGAATCACAGCTGTTTCTGAAGCACGCGATAAAAAATCCAATGTGAGGACCACAATCAGGACCGAATCTACATGTTTTGTACCCGAATTCAAAATCTTTCAGGTTGTATCCTGGTTTAGCGTATCCCTCTAGTACACTATCGCGGGATACTTCTGTTCTACATGGGTCCCAGACAGATTCCAAATACAAATCTGGAAACTTCTCCAATGCCCAAGCGATCATCCTTTCGTTTTCCGCTACTGTGACAGTGCACGTACTATACACTAACGTTCCCTGTGGCTTCAAAAGACGTGCAGCCTGTGTGCGTGAAATGTTATCGTTAATTTGTCTTCTTCTTTTCTTTTCGACAATAAATTCGCACAAACTTACAACAGAGAGCAGACGTCGTTGCAAATAGGCGTAAGAACGAAGTTTTGACCGTGTGATTGTGTTGTACAGTTGCGGTCTTTGACCTAGCGCACTGCATGGAGCGTCCAAGAGAATACGATTAAAATGTTTCTCTGGGAACGGTGGTATATCGGGATTATTACCACGGGCGACAATGCCATGCTGCTCGGAGATAACAGCTTTTGCAGCATCGTAATGATATATTGTAATATTTTTATCGTTAATCCTTTCCTGAAGCTGCGCCACCTTACGTCGGTTTTTCTCTAAAGCTATTATCGTACCCTGGAAATTGTAACCGAAATTACTACAAAGCAACGTGAATAAGTGACCTAGGCCGGTATTCATAGTCCGATCTTACATTTGAGACCGTCTTAACTTTATCTTCGGATGTTTCGTAGCCAATGAAACGAGCCGTAGAGCATCCGAAGGTAAACTTAAGAAGTCTTAAAGTCTAAGTCTATAGGATCCGACTATGAATATTGGCTCCAGGCTCATTATATTTTTCATTTTCCGTGCGTCATTTCAAGAAGAACATAAGCTTATGCTTGTTTTACTCAATCGAAATGAAAAGTGCAACGAAAGTGCAGCCAGAAGGAAGAAATCGATAGATCATCGCATCGTTTGTGTTTTACAACCGATTTATCTCTAAATGCACATACCTGTCCTTTCATGAGGTATGAAATGTGTGTGGTTTTGTTACCAGGTGCGGCACACATGTCAAGAATCTTTTCGCCCGGTTGAGGGTCTAAAACGAAGCCACACATGATAGACGGCAAATTTTGCAGCCGCGCACGTAGCTTCAGAGACTCATCATCGGCATTTAATTGTGGAACTCATGAGATCACATCGGTCATAACTACCGCGATATCGCTAGAAGGCAAATCAACAATGCTTAGCGCAAGAGTTCCGAACGAGAGTTCAGCAGTGACAAAATAATAACGTAGGCACAAAAATTTAACCTTGGTAGAGAAGGAGAGGAAGAGAGAAACACGTTTGCACACAAATCACACTGTCACGATAGCGCAGTTATGTATGTGCGTATTAAATACTCAACGATTTATAATACGCAAAACACACACACATAACGCGAGTCCTCCAAACAATTTTATTACAATGATCGTGTTACTTACTATGGATTGAAAAAGGTCTTCTCAAACAGTTGTTTTCTTGTTTGCCGTAGAACACCGTTACCCAAATACATCTTACTGTTATTTGGATACGGTGTAATCAAACCTTTTATGCATTGCCCGGTAATATCGGCGAACACGCTGACTTTAGTGTTGATGCTTAAACCTATGAGAGAATTTTTGTGTGATAATTAAATTCGAAATTTTTCCGAATAATTAGACAGAAAGAATTCCTCGTGGAAACATTACCATCCGGCATTCCCATAACGCCAGGAACGTAAACATGAGATCCTCTTAGCACGGCTGCGCCGCATCTAGCATCGACGATAATCTCATCCGGACATTTCTCCAAATCAAGAGACACCTGCGGGTCCCAACTGTCAACAGCGACTATTTCATTCGGGAGGCCTTGTAAAAAATGTATTTTCGGATCCGGCTTATCATCCTGAGATATGTCAAGCGTGAAAAAAGACGAGCGAAAAATGCAATACAGAACAAACAAATCGTACGTCCAGTCTCCTTGTTTCTCTCAATCTTTCAAGGTCAAATTCGTTTAAGATAATTTGAAAACAAGTTGAGGAAACTTTGTTTTCAAACTACTCACAAGATATGATTAGCGCAAGCAACTGTCGCGCTAGTTGTGATTACTCAATACGTACTTTTTTCAATGCTCTGCGCAGTTTTTCCAGATAATCGGTACGATCAACCTTACGATAGTCCAATCTGAAAACACTCATCTGAGGTACTGTGCACATCCATTTACAGAGCTCGTCAACCAACTCCTATAATTTTTTTTTATTATATAACGTTGATAAGGTGAGGTTCCACCTCACGAAGAAGCTTACGAAAATTCAATTGATACAACCTGTGCTTCAGATTTTTCTATCTGTTTGCCGTAGTAGATAATTTGTTCTAAATCTGTTATCAATTCGTCGCGTATTTCGGATTTGTTTTTAAACGGAGTTTCTCTAAAACTCCCGCCTAGTGATGACGACATTTCTCTTATCTGTCCCTCTTCCTCTGTTTGCCACAAAATTATTCGTTCTTTGTAAGATATGTTAATTGTTGAACATTGAGATATCATTCACATATATATGTTTAGTATGTATATATGTAAAGGGTAATTGGGGAGGGAACTGCAATATTCGGAGAATGTTTTCAGAAGATCGAAGCGGACAAAAAAAAGTTCTATAAACACAGGTCCGATTCTCAGCGTATATAATATTTAACTAAAGCGACTTTAATAAATAAACGTCAAAATAAATGCTTACAGTTACAAAGCTATTAGGGAGTTTTTGCAATAACATTTCTATATTTCTATACATATATATGTGTGTGTTTACACATTTCTTAATCTAACGAAATATATTTCAAGATATCTCGTACACATAGAGAGAAATATCTCTTATAGTAATATATACAGAACATTTCAATTTATCTGATTGGTAAGACTGAATGATGAGTAAATAGATTTGAGAGATACCGATAACAAGAATTTTCAACGTCAATATCAACATCGTAGACAATCGTATCTTTCTCCTGAGCAATCGCTTTTCTTTTCATCATCATGCAACTATTTATCTCTCTTATGTTGCAAAAAGTGTAATTAAGCAGCAAGAAAAAGGATAAACGCTTGATATTTGTGAGAGAAGACGGGGGCACGTTTTTAATTGAGCATCGAGAAATTCGCACGGGATGCAGGCAGTTTGATAAAATGGAATCTACAGAATATTGTGCACGACTTTCCCGATTTATATAATGATCAATATAAGAGACGGTAATTTTGAACTATGATATGCATAATTCACAGTTGAAAAACCATGCATCAGACCTTATTTGATTGATTTTATGTCGGGAAGGAGAATAACGAATATGTTTAATGCTCGGCACGAATTACAAAATGAATGGCAAGAGCTTCATTCAGCCTTGGACGAAGCTCAACAGGAAGTTACAAATCTCGATCAGAAATTATGCCATGCCAGAAGAAACTTGGAGGAAGAGAAGCGTAAGCGCCGAATGGTCGAGCAACAGAGGGATCAATTGGTACACATTGTTCTCCTCTCATAAATAAAATCAAAAATAGTTAACAAAATCTTGATACTTGTCGATCTAATTTTGTCGTCGTGTTCGACAGGAAAGCCAAATTAACACGATTCGAGAGATCTTATTCCATAACGAAGAAATAAGTTTGGATGAAGGAATCAAGCGGAAATTACAATTTCTTGACAAACCTGTTGTCGCAAGGAACAAGCATAATGTATATATCCGAGATACACAAAATGATGGGCAGTAAGTTGTACCATTGAATAGTCAATATAATAGCATATCTCAGGTTCATTCTCATTCAACTGGTTCTTTTCACAGGCTGAATACAATAATGGAAATGGATTCCACCGGTTCGATATTGAGTGATTTAAATTGTTTATCAAAATCAGAAGACGATCAAGATACTAATGCTGTACTCCTGTTGAGTCCAAAACATGTAGAATGGAAAGAACACGGAGCTAGCTGTGAGAAATCTGTACACAAGCAGCACAGCACGTTAGATAAGGTTGCTGAATTTAATTTGTCAGACAAAACAACGATCGCAACGACAATGAGTAAACAAACAAACGACAATACGCATACTGCATCTTTTCAAACCCAAGTTGTTCCTAGTAATGAAATTATTGATTCCAATGTGTCGGGAACAAAAGTATATGCTCATAACCTCGTGTCGAAAATGGTGATTAAACCAGAGACGTGTACTCCTTGCGGTAAAAGGTAATAATATCGATCGATGAAATCAATTACGCGTTAGAATCAGTGTGAAAAAGCTACGACATATGTATTTTCCTACGTTTGATCTGGTAGAATCCGGTTTGGGAAAATAATGCTGAAATGCAGGGACTGTCCTGTTATGTGCCATATGGAATGCAAAACTACAGTTCTGCTGCAATTATGCATACAGCCGGCAACTCAATGCGGTGTAAATACTATTGTATGTAGATTACGTATAATAACGTGACGTGTCTGTGTTTATATGTAAGTAATCACAAACATTTCAGTGAAGCATCGAGCGCATAAACCGATCGACAACGGACTAAATTGGATAAATTAAGGAAAGAGGATATTATGATCCGGTCTATTGGGAGGCCGATTGAATCTCGCCAGCATTATATGTCGCCTTGTGTACGTCAAGTTGAATAAGTTTAGAGGAAAGCATTTACCTTGAAAAATACAAGCACTCGCCGGAATTCGTTCTTTAATAAATTGCACCTTTACACGCAATCGCTGCTCTTACCACCGTTTCTTATTATTTTCTTCGTGTTACATTTGACTTAGAAACAACGCAAAATTACGTCTCGCATACTTATCTTGTCTATTGTACCCACAACCGTATTTTGTTAGTTAAGCAACGTTCGGCGAGAAATTGACGATCGCAAAGCTATTGTTTTCCCTATCAAACAAAGGAGGGTGGTTTGAGTTTCCTCTAGACGCTATTCTCACAGGGATATTTTGGGTGCGTTCCATTGTACCGAAGAGAAACCTGCGAGCGGCAACGCCGGCGTTTTCTTTAACACCAGCATTGAACTAAAGAACATACTGGAATGAGCACTGCCCTTGTTTCTGGCTTCGTGCCGAGAGAGAAAGTATCTAAAGCCCATATCAGACTACGGATTGAAAATTGAGATTGAATTTGGCCAATCGGTACAAAGTTAACTGAATTCAAGTTGAGTGAAATTTAGTGAACTTTGCACTGATTGGTCAAATTCCAATTCAATTTCAATCTCCAATCCGTAGTCTGATACGGGCTATATTGGCCTCTGCTTACAGGACGCGGAAATGCTTGCTGCGTGGCAAGGAGCGACGCGGCGGCCATTAAACTTTTAGTTCTCGTGGAAAAACGGCACGTTGATGGGCTACCGCGTCGCTTCTTGCCGCGCGGCAAGCGTTGCCACGTCCTATGGGCAGAAGCCATTATGCATCGGGCAATAATAATTTCGAAATTTTCGATGACGCGACTTATGCCGCCATCTATCAGTGTATTCACGTACCAATCTTAATTTCCGTCGTCACGTGTCCGTCATCGGGCCAATCGCGTGAGCACGGTGACCCTATACGTGGCATAAGGCATGAATCCTTTCCACGTCCGCCATTTTGACATACGGTACTTTTCGAGAGTGTTGGTTTTATGTTTTGTCGTTTCTCGTGAAAATAATCTTTTTTACTGAAACGTAAGTAACGCAAGTGACATATATGTGCAACGTGGCATTACCGGAGAGCTCGATATTAAGAGCAAGTCTCTAGATAATGGATCTTTGAGCGGAGTACCTCAGACGATTCGCTGGGGAGTAGGTCGAAGGTGACAGACAACCGGGTGTACGCAGTGGCTTCTCAAACCGCACAATATCTTCCGCCTCGCTCGCAGTATCACGCTCCACTGGCCTTTTAAATAGATCACTTTTTCAAAGTGCGTAGATCGCCGGCAAAGCAGTCTATTGTGATCCTCGAGGGTATGCTAGCAGATAATCATAGCGATGTATTAAAATGAGAATCGATAGCAGGCAGCGTGAGCATCTCATGTGTGCCTGATCCTTTTTCTCCCCTTCGGTCATGCTTGACAGTCGTACGTAGGTACGGCGTTTCTCGTCAATTCAATTGTCTCATATTGCATGCGCCCCATAAATACGATCAGGTTAGTTCACGAGGCTTTTGTGACAGCGTATACGATGGCCGTGTACGTACGTGCATGCGTGTGCGTATGTGTGATACGTGACGAGTATGCCCGCCGCGGCGGTGGTGGCGCACATTCTTGTTCGCGTTACCGCATCTCGGGTAAAACGCGTCCGACCGACCGCAAGGAGAATCGCCGAGTCGTCATCGCGTTCACCTCCACGTGTACCTCTCTCGTGTCTCATGATATTTCCTCATTCTTTCACAGAAATCCTCGCTTTCCCCTCATCGATTATACGTGCTCGACGAGAGAAAATAGAAGGAAAAAGGGAAACGCGAAAAAACTTGGAGTCGTGACATATTGCATTGTATATATCATTATTATTACACACGCGGATACTGGGAATCGATTGTGTATCTCGTGACGTAGTGAGAGTTACAAAAGTGAGCGAATCAACTAGAATTTATTATTATTTCATTTGTCAACACCTACTTAGCGAATCAGTTTGCTTTTGTCACTTTTGTCACATCATGAAATATACAATCATTCCTTTTTCCTCTCTCACGCTATTCGTGTCAACTGTTCAGCCAAATAGACGTGTCATTCCCAGTTGAACAATTTGAATTCGTCTTATCCTCAGTATGTTTCATCGTGCGTTCATATCAAGTTTTGCCTCTCATCTGACAAATTGGAAGCAGTCCTCGTGACCGATGAGATTGCACAAATTTGTTCTGACGTTACAATTGATCAGATATTAACAAAGAACGATACAGTATTTACAATGCGTGTACAACACGATTGTATATCTTATATGGATGATAATTCTCCTCTCAAATATTATAAACAGGTACAAACTGAAACAAATAATATCATAATCCAATCGTGTGTTTCAGGTCCCGACATAACTAGCACTAATCATGGGGAATATGTTTGCAACGTTATTCAAAGGCCTCTTCGGCAAAAAGGAGATGAGGATTTTGATGGTGGGTCTCGATGCAGCGGGTAAAACTACAATTCTGTACAAATTAAAATTAGGGGAAATTGTCACTACGATTCCCACTATAGGTAAGTATGTATGCATTTCTCATTATCGTTAGTAATATACAAAACAGCTGTTGAGAAATTCAATCGATCTTCGCGAGCGATTGGAAGATGAACAGTAATAATTTAATAGGTACTTTCCAGTAAGGAAACGTATTTATCATATAATTGAACGCAGTACACGGGTGCTTGATGGAATCTTAATTACCGAAATGGTCATTAGTTAACGATAATATGTATTAAATGTTATCGAACATTATGTATATTTCCGAACAAATGATTACTCCAGGAGCGATTAATATGTCGTTAATTATATCCGCTTTAAACGATCAAGCTGATAGTTTTATCGCTAATTACAACTCGTATTTATCGCTATCATTTAAAAATATCATCCGCTTGGCGAAACATGTGAATGTTGCGGAGCATCGACTACTTTCTTTCAATACAATTTTGACACACATTCTGAACGAATATTTTATTATAATAATTATCGTGCGTGGAAAGGCTCAGTGGCTCGATTTTTTTCATTATTCGTAATTATTTATATACATTATTTGCGAGTGATGTCCATTAAGCCTATTGCTTTTGCGAATATACTCATTGAATATCACTCGCAAGTTACGTGTATGAATAGTTATGAATGATTCAAGAATCGAACCCCAGAGCATCAGGGATTACCACAAAGTATCATAAAGAGAGAAACGATTGTTCAGTATATATATTTAATGCGACAAATATCAAAATTATATAAAAATGATTAAAAAATTAGCAATCATGACGCGGCCTGTAACACAAGATATATTCAACTCTATTCTTCTGCTTTGTCAACCTGTGTCAACTCTTGTTGCAAAGTTTCCTCTATGTAGTCAACTCGTTTTGCAAAACTAATTTTAAGTTGTACAAGGTGTCCTATTTATTATTTCTTTTATCTTCGCAGAGTAAGGTCGTATTAATGATATGTTTACAGACAAAAAGTGTTTGGTGTTAAGGTAGTCATCTAACGTAATGATCTCAATTAGACCTTGGATCAAGATCCAAATTATGTCAAAATCAATTTAATTTTTTATGCATTTTTTTCTCTTTTTTTTTACACAAATCGATTCCTTTATTAATTTTCGGACAAAATTACCGAAGTAAAATTAAGATCGATGAGTACTTACGCTCTCATTGATGCAACGAGAGCGATTCATTCTTATATTTTGATACGCAGAATGAACAGAGGAATCGATTTATGTAAAAAAAAATTAACTTGACCTCGAAATAATTCTCTGACCTTAATCCAACGTCTGATGACCACCAGATGATCTCTTCAAGCAACTTTTCTCTGTGAACATGTCGATTCGACCTTACAAAGATAAAATAGGTGATAAATGGGATATTTTGTGTACACATATCCACATACATACATACATACATACATACATATATGTGTGTGTGTGTGTGTGTGTGTGTATAAAATGTTACAGTGACAATACGTGTGTTGAAATATTTTTTAGGTTTCAATGTAGAAACGGTCGAATATAAGAATATAAGTTTCACTGTATGGGATGTGGGTGGTCAAGACAAAATCAGACCTCTGTGGCGGCATTATTTTCAGAATACGCAAGTATGTCGTCGATTATAAAAATCATTAATACTAGCTTGTCGAATATATAAATGAAATGAGGATACCAACGCGTGACACGTCTACCGAGTGTATCTATTCTTTCCACGATATTATTCCCTCTCATTAATGGGAATCGCATCGCGCATATCATTTTGACTTCTGCGTGATTTTCTTCCGCTATACAAACTCTCGTTATTACATTTGCAGGGATTGATATTCGTCGTTGATAGTAATGATAGGGAACGTATCGGCGAAGCACGCGAAGAGTTGATGAGAATGCTAGCGGAAGATGAGCTCAGAGATGCGGTACTCCTCATATTCGCAAACAAACAAGTGAGTTGATAGCGAACGGATGGACTCGCGTGTGGAATGATCGAAATACCATGTTGTGATCGATGACACATTTCAGGATCTGCCAAATGCAATGAACGCGGCGGAGATCACCGACAAGTTGGGATTGCATTCTCTACGCAATCGCAATTGGTACATTCAAGCGACGTGTGCCACAAGTGGGGACGGGCTTTACGAAGGCCTCGATTGGCTCTCCAATCAGCTGAAAAATGCCAACCGCTAATCGGAGAATTATCCTGTCAACATTCAGTTGCTATATTAACATCATACAAAAGAAAAAAAAAACAGCTGCACACCTGTCCCCCCATAGGAACGAATAATAATATTAAACGCAATGCTGACTCTACAAGGCCTCTCCGAGGAGGGACCTTATAAGAGCGGAAGATAGATTATCATTGAAAGTTTGTCTCTGCGCTAGCAAGTTATTGGGGGGAGAGGAGTGTGGATAACAACAAGCGGCCGCAAGCACACGATCGTGAATGGCCACACAGGACTATTGCCTTGTGCGCAACTTATTATTATAATTATTATTATTACATTAGCATTATATAGTTACACTTTTTACACAGAGATGCCACGAGAATGTGGAAAAACTTGGAAGTAATTATATTAAAGTACCTAACTCTGAAACATACGATAACACATTGATTAACAAATTATTATTTAAACAATACCTTCGATGAGAACAGTTGAGAACGTGGAAGAGACAGAGAGAGAGAGAGAGAGAGAGAAAGACGAAAAGAACAGAAAAGAGTAAAGCGCGTACCTACACACACACAGCGTTGTCAGTTTGAATATGGACATACCGATCGTTGGACATACCGATTATCATAATGTAGCTGCATATTGTACATTACATTATATAAATACGATAAAATGTGATCAATAGAGACGAGAGAATGTTGCTCTGTCCACTACATCAACAAAAGTAAGCTCTCACTTCGGCCCACAACGCGGTTGATATACGCGAAAACGCAGAAAGTGATTGCAGCAAGACGGTGCAATGACTTAGTATTTCTAGTTACGAAAGTTGGTTTATATTTTTTTAGTTTTCGGCGATAGATTTCGAAGACGATTACGAAAACGATGGTTATCTCGCTAGTTGGTAGTGGCAGGTGTGCATCCTCTTCCTTATATACCTGCCCGCCATACGACTCATAGTTATCCAACCATGTATGTCTCACTATAAACGAGATATCATTTATTTATTGCACCTTGATAAGGATAAATTAGAGTATATCCTCGAGAGACATTCCGAAATTGCGCACAGTGAACAGTGGAGAGAAATTCAGCGAAACTCGAGAGAAATTTAGAAATATGCAAAGATTCGTCGAATCGTCCGCGAAGAGAAAAATAAGGCTATGCAATTATTCAAAAGCCCCAGTGCTCATGCATTGGCGTGGCGTTTTCACGTGAACTATTCCGACGTTAATTCGCGGCCCTTCAATGTCCTAACGTTTTTCCCGTATTTCAAATATCGATTCTTTTTACGAGAGAGATACTCCTTCCCCTTAATTTCATTCAATCGCATTTTCGTCATAAGCGATGATTCATATAATTATGTATGAATGTTTAAACAATTTGTGAAATATATTGTAATTGTGCTTTATGTAGTCTATATATTATTCGCCGTCGAGTATAGTTTCTATTTGATTTCTCCGATCAGGATCGATCGCAGGATCACGCTTGATCGATTGTACATATTCACTATTCGATCAGCAATAACGTGATCACTCGCTTCGTTATTAAAAAACGGTGTGCTCGTCATCTTTTTTCCGTAATTATCTCGCTACTCAAACTCCGAGTTTTTTCAGTCACTTTTCACATCGGATATACCGTTTTTGAATTTTAAATCATACGATCGATTACAACATGAACGTATATAATCATGGTCATCTTTGAAAAATTCCACAGTATATATACCTACAAAGCTTATCGAAAACTGAAAATATTTTTCAGAGAGTGAATTCTATTTTTTAGTCGCTGTTCGTAAAAGGTAAGTGATAAACAATGAGACGAGTGAGCTATTTGCAAGTATACAACTCTTTCGTTAAGATGGTGAGATTGTTGCATCATGCTATAATCAACATGTATGCTCTTCAGAAATATATTGTATATTGTTTTTGCTTTACACTTCTTAAGTTTTAAAGTGCTTCTTGAACGATCTCGATAGCATCATTATTGCGAAAGTTACAGCCTGTTTTCACATTTTCGAATCAAATAATTTTCCGCTCTAAAAACTCGAAAAACGGAGTGTGAAATTGAGCAGTCGCCATTTTTCGTTTAACTCGAAATATCTTGGCGAAAATTAACGACAACATTAATATAGCTAAGGTGGTTAAAAACTAGAGACTTCAAGCTTTAAAATGCTTTTTGAACGATCTCGATAGCATCATTATTGCGAAAGTTACAGCCTGTTAAATTTCGCCTATGTTTTATTACAATGGAAGTATGTCTGACCAGCCCTTGAGTCGTACTACTTGAGAAATAAGAAGTATTTCCGACTCCATCGTTTAGTCATATCACGACCTCATTTTTTTTTTATTGCAAGTAAAGGGGGTACAAAAAGGAGTACAAGGTCTAGGAACTTAGCCTATCCGACTCGTGATCGCTATAGTATTACAATTTGTCTGTGTGGATCACATAGTTTTGGTGTCGATGAATAAACAAATTTTTTTAATAGTCTTATAAATTAATTGTTTGAGTATATAACTGGTGGGGGTTGTATACACCGGGGGGATATCACTACCTAATTTCTCGTTAAGGGAAGTGGCGGCTCGTAGCGGAGATTCTGGAACTAAATTTCAGAAATAACAAGTCTCACAATTCCGTAAACCCGTTATTTCTGACTTTCGAAAAGCTTAACCTGTAAATGTAATTGCGCAAATATTGAGCAACAATTAGTGTCCCTAAATTAATATATTGTTTAGTTTATGCGACATGTCGAAAGTTCCCGATTTTTTTGGCGTACTTAAGGGAGTGCAAAGTGTAGCTAGTGCTTTGATAAAACATCAGGAAGATGCAATCACATATAGAATTACGCATTCTAGTTTAAAGAACTTATCTAAACAATGCATACAAACCACAGGAAAAAAGTTAAATGACATAGAACCAAGTAAGATTCCTGTAAGTCTTTCTCTCACAAACTGAACCAAATATAAATTTCAAATATATTCTAGAAATGATTATGTTTTACAGAAACAAACGGTTCAAAATTTAATTGAAGTAGCTGAACGTGTTAATATAGTCGAAGAAGGTATTAAGCAATATGTGAAGGCAAATGTTAGTCAAACTTTAAATGTTAAAAATAATGCTTACATTCCTAAGAAAGAAACAAGACTATATGTATACAATGTTGCAAAAGATCCTAAGGAAATATCAGTTACTAATGATATCACATTATCCAAACATGATATTAACAAGCCTGTTGCTCAAAAAGCTTCCAAAGATTTACAAAGTGATAATATGGAATGGAGATATATGACAGTAAAGGAGAAGATTCAGACAATTACAAATTCAAATAATCAGATACCTGATATAGAGTTCTCTAATAAGGATAAGGAAATCTTAAGAAAATTGGAATTGGAATATGAGAAAAATATCAAGCATAAAGCCATAGATTCTGCTTCTTCGTCTACTATTAAAACGCACAAGAAGGAACATGTGCATGCAGAAGTAAAACCTGAGGAAAGATTAAAATCTGGATTACCCGTTAAGCCAAAACAATCTGTGAGTATCAAGTTAACTTTTCACTTATTGTAATATCTGATATTCATTTTTATTTAATAATACTATGCGTTACTATTTAATCGATATCATAGTTATCACCTACTGCTAGAGAGAGGAAAGTTCCTTCCACGAGATTGCAAAGAATGATAAGCTTTGGTACCTTGGGTGTTGGTCTTGGTATTGGCACAGTCGCCGAATACACACGTAGGACACTGGGAATAAAAGAGCAGAGCATTGGGGATACAGTTGACAGCATGTTCCTCACTAAAGCCAATGCAGAACGCATTGTCTCAACATTGTGCAAAGTGAGAGGTAAAAATAACTGATACGACAAAATCTATCAATTCGCACACATGGATAAGTTATTCCTCATTTTACGAGAAACAGGCGCAGCTTTAAAAATTGGCCAAATGTTGAGCATTCAGGACAATAATATCATAAGTCCCGAATTGCAGAGAGTCTTCGAGAGAGTTAGACAAAGCGCTGATTTTATGCCAACGTGGCAAGTTGAGGTAAATTCTGTAAATATATAAATTCATTGATTCATGACTAACGCTCGCGATCGTTTCCAGAAAGTATTAGCGGGCGAACTTGGACGCGACTGGAGGAGTAAATTAGCAACCTTCGAGACAAAACCATTTGCAGCCGCTTCCATTGGTATACATCATCCGTCTTCCACGTCCTCACGATTCGAGGAGTAGATGTTACTTTAATATTCCTGATTTCTTTTAGGACAGGTGCATCACGGTACATTGTTGAATAAGCAGGATGTAGCAATAAAGATCCAATATCCGGGTGTGGCTATGGGTATCCAGAGCGACATTGAGAACTTAGTGGGCATAATGAAGGTAGAAAATGACAGTATTTTCAAACAATGTGATGACGATTTACATCTTATAAATGTCACGTTAACTGCAGATGTGGAATATGTTTCCGGAGGGAATGTTCATAGATAATGTAGTAGAAGTCGCGAAACGAGAACTCGCGTGGGAAGTAGACTATGTTAGAGAAGCAGAATGTACGAGGAAGTATAAGGAATTCGTGACACTTTATCCCGATTATTATGTACCTAAAGTAATAGGTATGGAACGAGGAGAGGGAGATTAAATATACTCATTACAGAGATGTTTATATAACATTGATCGAATTACCAGATGAACTCTCAACGAATCAAGTGTTCACGACGGAGATGGTAGACGGCATTCCTGTTGATAAATGCGTGGACAAGGACGTTAAGACTCGAGAACACATAAGCGAATTGTTAATGCGCCTGAGCCTTCAGGAATTATTCGAGTTTCGATACATGCAAACCGATCCAAATTGGTCCAACTTTTTTTACAATCTCAACACAAAACAGGTTTTGCGTCTGCAGCAATAGTGTAACAATTTGCAGCTTTAATCGAGAGTTTCTAATGGGTGTGTCTTTGCAGTTAGTCCTGTTGGATTTCGGTGCGTGCAGGACTTATGAAAAAATATTTATGGACAAATATATCGAGATTATCAATGCCGCGAGTGAGGGGAATCGTGATAAGATTTTAGAATTGTCTAAAGAAATTAAATTTCTCACCGGATATGAATCTAAGGTAATCTCGTGATTTGAACATATATTGGATTTTTAATCTTTTAAAATGCTATCTTTCTCGGGCTGCGTTCTCTTTGGACGCTTACGCGCTGTAAATGCCGTTCTACTTTTATTCTTCATCACACGCCAAAGGAAGATAGAATGACGCGGCAGATGAGCGTCCAAAGAGGACATAGTCTTAGACGCACATCACAATTAGAGAGACATGAAAATAACTGAAGCCCTCTCGTCAGGTTATGGAGCAGGCTCACGTGGATGCGGTCATGATTCTTGGGCAAATATTTAGCAACAATCACGAGTATTACGATTTTGGTGACCAGGATGTCACGAAACGGTATGCTTCCGATTTGTTTTATCTTAATTTTAATTTATCCATGAAATATATTCTATACAATAATTGTATGTTACACAGGATCCAGGTTTTGGTGCCAACTATAATAACTCACAGATTGTGTCCGCCACCCGAGGAAATATACAGCCTGCATAGGAAATTGTCGGGAATATTTTTGCTGTGTGCAAAGCTCCGAGCTAGAATCAAGTGTCGAGACGTATTTCGCGAGATTTATGCTAATTACAAGTTTGGATAATGCCGATATTCTGATGTAACAGGATTATATATATATGTCAGAGCTTAGCAAAATCTTCCCTCTTCACCCAATTTTCAGCCCGCCATTCCTCTTACGTTTTCCTTCGTGCGCGCGTTTTCCTTTAAGCGGTATCTCCGAAAAGAAAGAGAGAGAGAGAGAGAGAGAGAGAGAGAGAGAGAGAGAGAGAGAGAGCATGTGACATGAAGATGTATGAATAATACGTGATATACGAATACCGTCTGCGTTTCACCGTGAAACGAAGGAGATTCCTTTTGAAATATTGCATTCAGATTTCCGGTTGTAACCTATAGGCTTACTTTCTTGAGGTATCGCGTTAAAATTCTGAGATGTGCGTAGGTCTAACTCTTTTTAGGATAGTTTAAATTCGGACTCGTAGTCTGATTTTCTCTTTTTATTATATGTTAGCGTAAGTTAATTCTGTGACTAGTTATAGTAGAGCTTTTGATTTTCAGATCGGTACCACATCTCCGACTTACGGCGACGAAACGTAATGTACAAGTATTTTCTCGCGTGTCGATATCGAAGAGTATCCCATTAATAGATAGAGTAACGAGTCGCGATCTCACATTCACAAAATTGTAATAACACTCTTGGATAAAAATTACACTGTCCGTTCGTTCGCAGACTAGATATAAAAATTACTAGTTCGTACCGTATTTCTACTTTGATATTAACGTATTCGTCCTACATCTTTTGATTGTGACCGATTATTACATCTATTTTAACAAAATAGCCGTCAAACAATGAAATGATTGAGAGGTACTTTGTAATATCATACCTTTTTTCTGCCGAGACATTTGCACGAATATCAGCGAATCGAGAAAGCAACAACCGAATAAATTTTATTGAAAAAATTAACTTATTAATATAAGTCATATTACTATTTTTATTGTGTAAGAGAATATATAAAAAATATATGTATATTATTATATAATAAAATTATATGTTACACAATAATTATATATATCAAATATATCACATATACAATTCACAAAATCAATTCCGCGAATATTTGACTACTTACGCAAAGCGAAAATATCAATAGTAATCGAATTATTTCGCGAGCGATTTTGAAATTAGAAATTGAGTCTCTATCAAACCACCGAGGACTCCGAGTTGTTGCCTTTTCGAACAACGCTATTGCGAATAATAACACCTCAGTTGTTTTTAGTTCCACATTTCTCCGATTTTGTTTTTTCAAAATACTCCGGCCTCTTAATGACGCCCGACTCGAGCATGATGAGACGATATTGACGGTTCTGTGTTTCAGAGAATATTTCTGTAAATAATGAATATTAGGCGCTAGATACTTTACGTTTTTTACTACGATAATGTCGCTTCTTGAGGGTAACTTAGAGTGACAGCAGCCACGCGATAACGGACTTTTACTATTGTCTCAATGTAAAGCGAGTACTTTGCTTACAGTGAAGTAAATACCTAATGCAATTCACTATGTATGACCTAGCTTACGTTGTACCCGCTCTTGTTTCCGGAGTGACTTTGACGGGAAGTGGCATTCTTCTCGCAGAAGATACTATACGTGGAAGATTCTTGGAGTAGTTAGGAACTGTATCTTTATAAGCCGCGTCTGTTATATTTATATGCCTATCGCGAACATTAGCATCTAAAGCGAGATCAAAACCATTATTTCCGTGGAACGTTTTATCCGTGATTTCATGCGTCACGTCAGATGCTTCCGATCAATCCTGCTTTCCTATTGAACTTTCTGAAGTACGGTTAATTGATCGGAAACACTCCCGTGCGAACTTCCATCGTGAAAAATTACCTTCCGAAGATCGCGGATACATCTTCAGACTTATCTTTAGAATAACGTTCTCGTAGTATCCTTAAAATCTTAGGCGTTTCCCTTAGTGCATTTGATAATTGTTGCTCGCGAGGACGGGAGGACTACGTTCAACCACCGTCGTTACATCAGTCGTGACGTTGCTCAGAACGTCTCTTTGTTCAGTTCGGTGAACCGGCAAAAAATTGGTAATTTTAGCAATGGCTGATAAAATTATTCACAAGATTTCTCGTGGTAGACATAAAATTCAATTTCTCGTATAATTTTCCTTCGGACGTTTTTTAGAAGCCCCCCCCCCCCCNCCCCAACCCTCTAGCTCGTCACGCCGCCAGAACGGTCGTTGCACGATCGTAAGATCTTAAATAGCTAAATGATCGGTTTACCGAAAAATAACTGGTTCTTCGACCCTCCGAAATCCTAGCACCATGATTAACGAATACCTCTCGTCACCTTTGCCGAATTACGCGCATCTCTCTAAAATAATCTTGCCGGACTCTTCGTATTCCTGCCGTGACAGCCACATTTGCTGGAACGATCCCAAGGAGCTGAGAATCGAGCCGCCGATCCAGGCGCCATAGCGACGCTCGCTCGAGCTGTTCGCGCTAATTATTTTCAGTCTCATGCTCTGCAAAGAAACGTCCGATTTTTGCGCTGTCGCAGGATTCGACGAAGGGTTGAATGTGGAGATCGTGAGCCAGAGGGCCAGTGATAAAGACTCGCTGATCGGTGTCAATGCGAGTCTCAATGCGAGCTTACCGGCGGCGTCTTGCTGGCCAGGTCCCGATTCAACCGTTCGCTGAATCCTTGAAGGCAGGAGTTGCCACCGGTCACCACCACGCTGCCGTATAAGCTCTGTAACGCGTAGATACACGATTAGAACGATCCAATGCCCGCTACGTAGCAACGTCATGAAAAAGTTACAGCTACGCGAACTACGTGAATTGCTCCACGAAATTTCTTACGTTCACTATAATTTCTTTCGAATTATTCTTGGAGGTATCCGTTTGATAGCCCATATTTCTTATAACATTGATCGATTACCGTACCGGTCTAATGTCCATGTCGCACATTCCAACACTCGTGGTGACCAGAGGACCAACCCCTAAGATACTCGCGCCCACGCCTTTGACGTTGCTGGGGTCGAAAAGTGCCTCGGGTATCATCAGTCTGACGGACCCAAAGTCGTCATTGTACCCGGTCGGGAACTCAAAATGCTTCATGGGCAATGTGTTCGCCACGTCTTCGTCGTACGGGCTGTCCGACACCTGCAGGCAGTTCATCTGAAAATCCTGCAGCAGCTCTCTGACCATGTAGCTCATCCAGGAAGACGTCGGTTGGGCACCGGCTCGTTTCGACCAACGTGGAGGATCTCTCTCGCGTACTACGTCTGAAAGAAACATGAATATTCGAAGGTAAAATCTGCGAAGTTACGAAACTTCTCGCAGAACGGCCTGGATTAAATTCACCTTCATTTCCCTCCTTCGAATTTATATTTCGCTCAGTCAAAGGTTAATCCAGGATGTTGGGGCAATTATAATTATCCGTGTTGATCGAAATTTACATCTGGACGAAATTCGTCGAGTTTATCCTCCCCTTGATTCGTAAATTACGACGATCGATTGCATTTCTTCGTGATAAGACGTTGCGCCGCACTTACCCTTGCTAGCGATGAGACAAGCCGGCACCAATTCGATATCCTTCTCCTCGAAGAACTGTCTACATTGCATGGTGATGAAGTCGCCTCCCAAAGGACTCTTGACGATCCCCTGGGTGATAACGTAACCGTCGTGCACCGGCACCGCGCTGGTGTGCGTCGCGCCGCTGTCCACGACCATCGCGGTGGACCTGCCGTTAGCGTAAGCGGCCAACACGGCGTTCTTGCAGATGTACATCGCCGGCACGTTGAACTTTTCGAACATCAGCTCCAGCAGTTTCTCCCGCTTCAGTCTGGTGTTCCAGGGACATTCGGTCATCAGGATCGGATGGTGCTCGGCGAGGGCGTGCAAGCGTTGCTGGTAAGTGTACTCGGTTAGCCGCTCGAACATATCCCAGTCCTCGATCATGCCGTCTTTCATCAGACTCACTATCTCCATGTCTAAATCAAAATCGGACACTTCGACGTGAATACCGGAGGGTGATGACGTTCCGCGCGAGACATTTTGTTTGTAAACAACCGGCTGTTAACAACCTGTGGCTGGAAATTTCGACCGAGCCGCCCCCGACCTTCCGAACACATTATTAATTAAACAGATTAATATTTAATGATGTTTATTTGGGAAATTTAGCGTGGTCATTCATTGGTAAAGTTGAGACCTTTAATCGCAACGTACACGTTATTAAAGAGATATGACATCAATTGTAACATCCGACCGAGAATCATCTCGATGACTGCTGTGTGTCATTTTAACGCGATTACATAATTATATTTTTATTACAATGAGATATATATATATAAAATGATATCATACCCTTTTTTCGTACTTGAATTGCCGTGACGTCCATGTTGTAGTGCTTCCTGACGATATTATTGCCGTCGACGCCAGGTTCGGCCGGGTCCTCCCACACCCCGAGGACCGTCGGGATTTCGGCCTTCGGCGTGTCCTCGCCGCCATATCCCACGCGAAGGCTCTGGTGTCCGACGTCGAAGATGATAGCACCTACCTCGTCTGGCGAAAGAATCGAGAGTGCCGCCGGCTGAATAATCCTCAAACGTGTCCTCTTTCCGGACCGGAATAATTATGGAGCGCGGCGTACTTACCACCGCCGTAGACACCACCGCTCATAGTACCTGAAGGGAGAGAAAGCCTGGCGCATGTCCGGTGGAGCTCTCCTCCACGTTTGCCGTTTTATCGCACGTACGGACTCCCACATACGCAAGCTCGCACACGCGTACACGTGCCCTCCCGAGCGATGCGAGAGAGGATCCCGCGGGTGATTGCCCTCCTGCGGCGAATCGATCAACGGTTATAGCGATAAGCATGATTTCAATTCCAAATTTGTCGAGGATGGGGAGAGATAATCTTCTGACAGCGATCTCTTGATGGTTCGATTAATATGCATTTACAGATGTGACGACAATTCCTTTGCTTTGTTTTTCAACTTTTTCGCAGGGATTTTCATCCGTCGTTATCCGTTATTATATATTATAATTTAATCATTGTATTAATTAAGCATCTATTTAGATTAGAAGGGCGTATGAAGTTTCTTCGGATGGTCGATAATTTACTAGTTTTAAAAATTATTTTACAGGCACGAAATCAGGCAATTACCTGCAAAGATGTGGCAAAAAATGAATAATTATATAGTAGTAAATAACTATATAACAGATATTCTGATTGAACATGGCGTATATACTCGATTTTCACATTTTGGTATTAGGAGAATATAATGAGCGAGGAGGTATCACGAAGTTCCGGCGGGAATTTGAAAATTTGAGCTAATTTCTTAAGACTATTAGAAAGGATAGACGTCGAAAGGAGAAGAGGGGTGGAAGGGGGAGGGGGTAAGAGGACGGAGATGAATGAAGAAGTACGCAAACACGGGACGAGCGTTTTCCAATATGGAATTAGTGTTGTATATTTTACAAAGTAAATAGAATATAAACAATCTAAAGTCGTCTAAAACACAATCGTACGAATTTTGTGGTAAATCATCATTTCGTGTGTCGTAAAGTAGACGATATATCAACAGGGCGACTCCTCTCGCTTCTCTCCACCTCGCGCGAAATGACTCGAGGATTGAATTAACGTTGGAGGGGGGAGGAGGGGGAGATCAGGGCGTGGAGTAACGGCTGACTGAAAAATCATCGTCACCCAGCCAGGAGCGAACGATAACCCAACCAACGGGGGAGGAGGGGGGTGAGAGTGACGCGGTCGGCAACGGCTAAACGGATTTGATGACAACATATAGTATCTCGAAGGCTGCGTTTCGATGGCGATGACATTCGAGCACAGTTCTCTCATCTCTCCTCGATTCATTGTTCGCATCATCACAACGGGGTCCGTCGATCGTTAATCGACGCGGGGCTGGCGTTCGTGTCGTTACGTCTTCTTCTTCCTTCTTCTTCTCTTTTATTTTCTTCATCTTTCAACTTGACGGGAGAGGACGGGGGGGGGGGGTTGTCGAATGTGCGTGCGCGGTTTGAGCGAGGTACAGTGGGTATAGTGTACAGTAGTAATAGACAGCTTACAGACATTATGTTCGGTTGTTTACGTTTACGCTACGTGGTAATTCGTTTACTAAGACCTGGGTCGACGCGCGACACTTAGCCTGCGACGTTTCAAGGCGGCGGTCTCCTCTCTCGTCGAGCGGCGCGACCGAGTAACGCGAGGGGAGAAAACTCTCTCGCGCGAGGTCCACGTGGAGTGATCGAGGGTCGCGCGGCGAATGTCACGCGTGAACCCACTATAACGCTCTTCAGTCTCTCTCGTGGGTAAGGTTGAAACGACACCGACGACAACGACGAACGATCTGGTTCTATTGCATTATTTCTTTCTCCTCGATTACTTTAACACGTACGGTAACAGACCTCGCGGAAGCTAGAGATCGGTGTGCGTTGAAAGGGAGCTGCTTCGTGATGGACGATGTGGGGGCTCGCGATTCGTTGTGGAAGAATGAATGTGTTATCGTCGAGTTGGATGACCAGGATGACTGGAAGACAAAGGAAACGCTCGGAAGTCGCGTATTGCTCGCTTCGATATGCATCCGGTGTACACCTTAATGTCCTGTCAGACGGGAGACAATCCGCAGGTATATTGGTCGATCGGAAAAAGTTTCTTCTTTTTTTTTTTTCGCAGTCGTTGGTCGTTCCGTATAATAGAGTAAGATGGCAGTTCGCAGGTTCGCTCCCGTTACCATTAGAATTTCACAGTTTTGTCACAGTCGTCGCGTGTTCGCGTTATACTTTCGCTATTATTAATAATTACAGGATTGCGGAGTGCACGTGTGCATGTTGTGTGCACACGTGTGTGTGTGTGTGTGTGTGTGTTCGTACATGTGTGTACTTTGGCATCGATGGCAAGTATTCGCGCAGAGATCCTTGCCGGAGGGAAGAAATCCGAGGTGGATGCTGATCACGCGTAACGCCGCCATTTCAACTAACTAGGATTATTACACGGAGTGGAACAAACGTGGCAGTTGACGAATCGTCGTCGTCGAAACGCTTCGCGGACTCGCGGGTGCCCGTACATATATATTCCTGCCACGGATATAGAACAAACAACAATACGGCGCCGCCCTTTGCACCAAGCGAAACCAAGCGGCAGCTTATATTTTCTCCCTCTCTCTCTCTCTCTCTCTCTCATTAAGCTTTGCTTCTCTGTAAAGTTGAATGCTGATTACGATTAATCTGCCGCACGTGTGTTCGCGTTCGTTCGCCTGATTATTATCATTACTTTACGCCCTAAATACCAGACGCGTCAAGGACTGGCCTCGACCGCGTCGGATCGATCGCGCTGGAAACCAGGAAGCGCCGCTGTGACGGGCAGTTCACGGAGCGCATCGTCGAGCTGATAACAGGGCCGTCTCTAAGATACGAGCGGCAACGCGTTGTCTCGTCGACATAGGCCAGGAACAGGACGAGGGGAGCACGTCGGATTATCACTTGAGTGGCTGGCGGCCGGACGCGAGGCGCCAATTCGAATTAACGAAACGACGGACCGCGGTTTACATCGATTTTTGCATATGGTTTTCCTCTCTCCATTCCTTCCTTCTTCTTTCTCTTCTTCTCTCTCTCTCTCTCTCTCTCTTTCTCTCTCTCCTTCTCTCTCTCTCTCTCTCTCTCTTTCTCTCTCTTCTCCTTTTTTTTCTTTGTTTTTTTCTTTCTTTTATTTTTCTATACTTTACGACGGGGTTCTCGCGTGCGCATCGGAAGCTTTTACATTTATTTACACCGCGATTACGAAGTCACGGACGTTTCGTTGGCTGCTGTGACCGCGATCGAGGTCGCACTCGGCCTCGCTTAACTCAAACGCGTCGGAGAAGCCCGAGGGTGGGTCCAGCTTGGGGACGAACAGGTTTCCTGATCCGTCACGCTCCTGGTCCCGATTGGCACAGGAATTGCCCGACTGGTGCTTGGGATGGCCAGGCCCGGCGATTGGCCCGAAGTTGGCACGGGCCTCCTCGCTGGTATGACGCGCCAGCTGTAACATCCTGGAAACGGGAGGAATTTGGAAACCGGTTAAGGCTGTTCCTCTCGAGACTCGAGGGGAAAAGTGTAGCTGGTGTGCACACGGAAAATAATTAATATCAAGATTCGTATTCTCATTTTTAAGGAAGAATATCTAATCTTGTATGTGAAGATAAAACTTGTGCTTACATAAAGAAGGTTCTAAGTGGTACCATTAAAAACATCATATTCCTGTTATTCGGAGATATTTTTTAATGAATTGAGAGATAAAAGTATTGGATAGAAAGTCTGAATTAAAGAGGCCCAAGATTAGGCGCCGGTAAGTAGTCGCGAGATTAAAAATTGATAGACTTCAAAAGTCAACTGGAGTAATCAGTTAGTCTTTGTCACTGAAGAGGGTTGGAACGAGCGAAACGTTTGGGTTCATCGATTTTTTAAGTCTAATCGTTTTTAATTTCGACAACTACTTGCCAGTACTGGCTATTACTGGTCTCCTTCAATTAAAGATAGCGTATCCCGAGAACTCGATTCACGTCTTCATATTGATACAATTGTTAGATTATTAATCTTCATACAAGATTATATAATATATTCTCTTGCTTAGAAATGAGAATGTAAGTCTTGAATTGAACTGATTTTTTTCGCACATTCTCGATTATTAATCCCGGTGATTCGGGTGAAACTCTTTGAACTTGTCGAAGTGTGAAAATTAAAATCCGAATGACGTGTTACTTACTTGGGTCTTCCCCTTCCAGGAAACGATTTTCTCTCAAAAATCGGTGAGGGTTCTGTAGACGTGCTAGATTCTGGTCCATGGTACAGGAAGTCTGCAAGCAAACGTTATCCCGTCGTTTCCTCAGACTGTCCTGCTTACAGCTCGCTGAACATAAATGATTAATCGCAGTGCTCCCGCGGCCTTGTCACGGACACTTTCTCCGTGGATCTACGTTGCAGCCAGCGCAGCGCATAACAATCGGACGACAAACAAGAGACCGCAAGCTAATCGGACACACCGAACGCGGCGTTTCGTCGGAAAGGAAGCAAAAAAGGAGAAACGTCGACACCGACCGTGCATCTCGCGTGCTGTCGTGGCCCATGCTCGCGGGATTATCGGTAACCAAAATCGCAGCCGCAGCTAGAAGCAGAAGAGAGCGGCGGAAGCGCCCGGGAGAAGAGAAGCAGGAGCGTAGCTACGAATTTCGTGGTCGAAAGTGAGATTCACGTGCAAAAAGGTGGGCTTCCGCGACAATCAAAAAGTAAGTTCGGCCCGGGCAGCCCGAGCAGACGAGTTTCGAGACACATCGGGAGGGAGATCAAATCAGGGTGAACGCTGCGGCGTCCTAGCAGCGTCGCTTTCTTTTCGCTACTCTAGGCCTGCTACGCCCCTGAAGAAGAGGAAGAAGAGAGAAAAAGAAAGAGAGATAGAGAGAGAGAGAAAGTGGTGAAAATATTGCATACTGTGGACGCGCGAGTCGGCCGCAGATGCCGAGTGGTGCGAATCGACGAGGTGATTGGAAGACTCGGTTCGGCTGCTGGTCCCGACTTCCGTGTCGCTGTCCGAGCCCAGGGTGTCGTACTCCTCCGACTCGGACTTGCCCTGACTGACCTTGTGCGCTTTGTGCAACGGCGCAGAGGACGAACGGCCTCCGCGCACCTTAGTGTACCGGTTGCAATCCGACTGCAATCAGACGGAATTGGTTTCCATATAAAATGGCACGTCGCGCATTCGCCGCATCTCAATCCCGTCGGCAGTTTATCAGCCGACCGTACGTTGACGGTCGTCTACGAGCGTCTACGAGAAGCGGACCTTAGACCAGAGCCGTTGTCGAGAGTCGTGACTTGGTGAGCTTCCGCCTGGACCCGGGATAATAATTTATCAATGCCGAGATTGCTGCTCGTACACGAGAAGTCAGGCGACGCCGCGGGAATCTCGAGGGCGGAAATGTTCACTATAATTCATCGCCGCGCGTCCAACCGACGGGCCGGGCGATGTCGAATTAAGAGGAACCGGCGGTCACTTCGGATTCCTCCGTTCGCTCTAAGGTTCTTCTCGAGTACTCTTTTGGATCCTATCGTGGACTTTAATGACAATTCCCGTTTTTCCTGAATTTTTCACGCTGTTCGCTCGCACGACCGAGATCAGCCGAAGGGACAGTGCGCTTCGTTATCAATGAATGCCTCGGCGGGTGACTTCGTGTCGTCCGCCTGACGTTTCTTCCCCGCACGTATAACGGATTTGATTGAGAAACAATCTCTCGACCGATGTGTACTTTTGCATTCTGTTTGCCGTTTAATCGTGACAATGATGGAAAAACGAGCGGGCACCGACGTCCGTCACCATCTCCACAGAAACTCTGTTCTACTTCGTCGAATTGGGAGGCTGCGGTGAGGGCGATGCGATGAATCATGAGAGATAGACAGAGAAAGAGAGAAAGAAAGAGAGAGAGAGAGAGAGAGAGAGAGAGAGCTTATGCTACAGCTAGCGGAGCTACGGCGAAACTCGGCGAGCGATGTGAATGTATAAATGGCGAACAGCATACTCGGCGGATCTAAATAGTTTGCTCTTCTAATCCGCAACTTCTCGCGAATCACCGTTTCAGGACAGCTGCGAGACGAAGCGAGGTGGGACCAGCAGTCGCAATGATCGGGCTCGCGGCGTTCGGTAATCGCGGTTTCGTCGTATCGGAAGAAACGTGTCGGAGAAGTCGTGATACTCGTACCGTGAGAAATCGTGGGCCGAATAAACGGACGGACGGACGGACGAGAGGAGGGATGAGAGAAAAGATGCGAGGGAAATTTGCGCGCGAAATTAACATTCGCAATCACGTCGCGCAATTGATCGCGCATAAGACGCTCGAGGGGCTCGCACACGAGGAGCATGCGAGTGACCTAAATATTCACACAGTGAATCGCTAAGGGCCCCGAATGCGCCGTGGGAGCGGGTGGGCCGATCGAGGGTGCGCATGCAATGCGTGATCATCGTCGTGGGTGTAACGAAGCCGGGAATGCATGAGGGGATGAGAATGATAAAAGCGATGATAGACTCGTGCTTGCGTATCTCCCCGCACGTTTAGCGCGCTCATATCGAATATCGGGCTCGTTTCATCGAAAGCTCCCGATTGCGTAATCGAATACCGTCGAAATTATCGAGAGTCGAAATGTGGAAATGCGAGAGAGAGAGAGAGAGAGAGAGAGATTGGAGAGCATGATTTAAAATAATTTCAAGAACGATTCAAAATAATTTAACGACTAGTCTACAAAGGAAGAAATGAAGATTATATCCGGCGAGAGAGAGAGAGAGAGAGAGAGAGAGAGAAAGAGAGAGAGAGAGAGAGAAGAACTTTGACAAATTTTACAATTTCGAAATAAATATGCCCGAGAGAGAGAGAGAGAGAGAGAGAGAGAGGAGGAGGAAAAAGAGAGGAATAGAATAACACTCGAGGGAGAAAAACGTGCGGCGAGGCGGGCGTAGGCGGCAACGCTAACGGCGATTAATTCGGCGGACGATACCTCTCGTAACTGAAGGGTATCGGCAGTGGACAGACGAGGGTCGTGATAGACAAAGGTCTGAAGAGGCGCGGCAGAATTGCAGCGGCTGTCGCCTCCTGCAGGAACGCTTTCCTCCAGCTGGAACGTGGCGTACGGGTAGATATCTTCCGAATATTCTACAAGCATGTTTAATGGCGATCGTTAATAATGACTACCGGGGACCGCGATCGTTTTGCCCCTCGCGCGCTTTCTCTCTTGTATTCTCTCCGCGAGAGCCCAATCGCTCGCTTTTCAATCGCTCTTTTTCCCCCTTCGTTTTTTTCCATCCAACCCCCATCGATTAGCGGCAAGTAAGGGCTCGCTCGTGTCGATTTCGCACACCGAGCGAGCGAGTCTGTCTATCTCACCTGGTATCTTTTCTAAGGTCATCTCGTGTATCGGCGAACGTAGCGGCTTACGTACGGTGGCGTAATACTGCTCGCGTTGCTCCATGTTCTGCTTATTGTCTAAGGCAGCCGCGGTCTGCGCGTCGTGCAGGCTCCCGATGTCGCCCATGAACGGACCTGCCAATGGAAACGTTCAGTGACGATCTTGTCGGGATCTTCAAAGTCAAATCGGTATTTCGCTCGCGGCTGAACCGATCTCTCGGTTTGACGAGAAAACAGTTTCGTTTGGTCCACCGGCGAACCAGACGAAATATTTCCTCCGTAAAGCGAAACAATCGTCCTCGAGGTCCGTTTAGTATCCATCGAATCAATTCGCCGTTTTCGCGCTCGTTTCTGGAAACGCTACTTTTCTTTCGTTTTTCTTTTTCTAGACGACTGCCGTTTTTAAGGTTCACCTTCCGTTACCTCCGTACGCATATTTGGATTTGATTTGAAAGCAAATTTCGCGCCACTCGCGAGCTTTCGTACGTCTGTCGGACTAACGTTTACGGAAGCAGTAGAAGACAGCGCCGGCCGCGGCGATGACCGCGAGCGAGCTCAGCACCAGAGGCACGATGAGCTTCAGATCCGAGTACACGGAGGTGTGCTGCGGTATATAGTGATCGATCTCGATGGCGGACACGGTCGTGCTAATGTGCAGCTGCAACGTCGTTATCTTGTACTCGGCCACCGACGAACCCGCGTTGTTGTGCGCTCTTATGCGGATATTGTAAGTTGTGCCCGGCTGCAGCTCGCTCAGAGTATACGTCTTTTGCACCTGAAGACAATACCCGTAATCTCGTATTAAATATTGCACCGTATTTCGCGGATATATCAGTGTGAACGGAGAGAAACGGAGAGTAGCGAGGCATCGGTTGCGGGATTTAGCGTCGTTAAAAATTCCTCTCTACGAGAGAACATGCGATGGAAATTTTAACGATGAAAGTTTCGTAACAAGACGGAAGTAACGGGAGAAATTATTTTCTTTGTGCTTACTCGGTGCGATGAGAAAGGGAAGAGAGAGAGAGAGAGAGAGAGAGAGCAGTATCGGTGATTTTCACAAAACAGAAAGAGAATGAGATGAAGAAGTTTACGCTCCACGGCGAAATATCTCCACGTGGTTACCTCTATGTTATTCGAGACCAGCGTCCAAATGCCCTCGCCACTTTTCTTGTACTCCAGCTCGAAGTACGTTATAGGACATCCCCCGTCGTTCCACATACTGAGATGCAGCGTGATCCAAGACACATTAACCGTGACGAACTTATCACCGTTGCCGGGCGAGTCGTCCGGCTTCGAGCCTTTCGTGGTCGCCTTGAAGATCTTGCTCGGTTTACCCATGCCGATGCGATTGTACGCCGTCATGTACACCTGGTAGTCATTGCCGCACCAGAGCCGCGACAGCACGAAGGTGTTCACTTTGTGCGACACCTTGAACTCCTCCCACTCGCCGGATTCGCGTTTGTAGTGCAGGATATAGCCCTTGATCGGCGAGTCGCCGTCGTCGATCATCTTCCACTGCACGTTGATCGAATTGCTGCTGGTGCCGATCGCGTGCAATATCGGTGCCGCAGGTGGTACTGAGGAGACAAATATTGACTCAAGGATCTTGCCCTTGTCTTACCGCCGGTGTATCGCGAGCCAAGATTCCTCCCGACCGCGCGTTTAAAGGGACTTTCCCGAGGAGAGAACATCTCGTCTCTATTTTTCGTCCCTATTTTTCGAACGCTCGATACGAGATGAAAAAATATAGACAGCGGATAAAATCACAAGAAATATAAAGCGGACAGGAATCAGAGCGACATTTTCAAAAGCTGTTAAAAGTGTACGCATAATCGATGCGCATTTGTCGAAACGCTCTTGTAACATTTTAATCATCAATAATCGCTATTTACATTCAGTTATATAATTTAACTAATTTCATATTAATCAATTAATAATTACATTTTTTCCATAAATTGTGATGCTATTTGATTAATTCCGCACCGATTGTATTTCCACAAATGTTTCATCTTGTATTCGGGGTGACTTACTTTGCACGGTTAAGCGGTGGCTTATTTTGTCGGAGCCATGGCGATTCTCCACGAAGCAAGTGTAATTTCCGCTATCGTCCCTGTTAAGATCGACGATGTGCAAGGACCCGTCGGGACGGAGGGACACCCTTCGGGACGGGTTGACGATCTGACCCCAACGTTTCCAGATAACCGAAGGTTCAGGCTTGCCTACACTCTGGCAAGGCAGCGTCACATTTTGCTTCCACGGCACAACGAGCGTGGTGTCGAACGAGTATATGGCCGCGCGAACTGTAATAAAGTATCGTGCGAACTCTTACCGAAGACACGGGACGATAAATCGCGGTTATCTAAGTTAACTTTCATCGAGGGGCGAGTATATAAACTCGAGGAGGTATTTTCCGGCCGGGGGGATCGGGAAGATTTAAAGTTCGCGAAGTGGAGTTCGCGGAGGGACTACCAAGACTCCTGGACGAAAAATACAAAATAGAAGAAAACACGGCTCATCAGCAAGTATTTATGTTAAATATGGACAATTCATTTAGCTCAGATGTTTATGTTATCCGGATAGACGAATTAACGGCCCTCTGAAATCCAACTTGCGCAAACAGATCGACTTGCACCGAAACGCAACTTCAGCAATTTCCAAGTTTCATGACTGCGGAGTACGTTTCCTTGATGTGGTAAATACGATCGCGCTTTCGCCCTTTAACATACCAGGCATGTCGGAATATGTTCCATGAAATTAACTTTTCACCGGTAACATGGGGATTTGACGGCATAGTCGATTCTTTGATTGTGAATTTTAGAATAACTGATGGATAGCTGGGTTCGTCATATCTCCTCTTGAAAGCTCTAAGAAACTTAGAGGTAGCGAGATTATGTATGCGTAGGAACGTTAATGTTCAACATTGTCCGTTTTCTGGTAAGGATAGTTAGAATATATTTTTCTACCCTCCCTCAGCGACTCGAGCATCGAGAGATTGCATAGACCATGTATTTTTGCAGATTAATAATTTGGATTTTTTCCGCGTTTTATATGCCCTTGATACTAATTTCAATGAATATGTAAAGATTTGGCTTTTAAAATACTTTTAAAATAGATTTTTTGATGTTTCGCACAATCGTTTTACTGACCACAAAAAATAAATATATAAAGAGATTTTCCTTTGTAAATAAATTTTTTGGTGCCTTCATATCTTTTTTTTATAAAAAATCGTGTATCGCTGTGCGTTGTGTGGCGACCGTGAGCCGGTGTGCAATTTATTCCAAAAACTCATTATTGTAAAAACTGTGCTATATAAATATTTGTATTCTTTGCATTTTTGTAAAATACAATCCGACGTCCACGATGATAAAAGCACTTTATTAAAGCTATCACATGTATGCGAGAATTTTTTCAGATTTTCATACGATCCGGAGCATAACGTGACAACCTGCACTGGACTTCGAAGCCCCAGATTGCCGAGGGAAGGTGCTAAATAACACGTTGCCGGCGGAGAGTTAAGAGATGCAACTTTTATTTACATTCTCAACATGCGTATACGCTATGTTTTTTTATATAACCCAGATCCAAATTGAGATCAACCGAAGACTACGACTCCGGGACTAATTTACCTTCGCTGGAAGGTGAGACCGTGATTGACGGGGTCTGCGGTCCCTCGCCGACCGAGGTGACAGCTGCGATGCTGAATTCGTACTGGCTCCTTTTGTGCAGGTCCTCGGCCTGATAGCTGGTCTGATGAGGCGGTAAAGCCCTCCTGTGCCACTTGCCCTCCGGTCCCAGCGCCCGAATGTGCACGTTGTAGGCCGTGATATTGCCGTTACTCTTGAACGGTGGTTGCCAGGAGACGATGATGGACGTGGCCGAGCTGGCGACGGCCTTGACGCCGGCCGGCACTTCCGGCAGGTCCTCCTCGGTAACGCAAAAGAGGGGCGACGAGGCGACGCCGTCACCGGCCTTGGTGGACGCCAGAACTTGGACCGAGTAATTCGTGTACTTCTCCAGGCCGTGGATCACCACGGTCAGGGCAGTGGTGATCTTCATCTCCGGCTTGGCGGACTCCGCCGACGCGTCCGTGTTCTCCCACATGACTTTGTAGCCCTTCAGGTTCCCGTTCAGGCTGGAGTCGGGCGGGGAGTCCCAGGAGACTTGCAAAGATTGCGAGGAGAGCGCAGTGCAGCGCACGTCCAGCGGAGGACTGCTCGGGACTGGAAGCGCGTTTTATATCCGAGGTATTAAGATGTCGATTTTTCGTGCACGAGGTAGTCCATGTATCAACGCTTGTCACATACCAAGCGCTAAAGCATTTGACACCGATCAATGGCTACGTCGTGTTATTTCGCGCGTTGCGCGACGTTCGCGGAATGCCGAGCGAGTCGCGGAATTGTGGGATTATAAGTGGATAAAAGCAAACCGGTGTGACGAAGCCGCCGATTCGAAAAAATTATCGATTTTGGCCAACTGACGCAAATTGGACAGTCTACGAATTTACCCGTGAATTAGGCTCATCGAGCTTCGATGAATTGCAAAATTATGAAACATTAAGGTAGTCGCATCGCAGAGTGCCATATTTTCAACGGCGTGAAGGAGGCCGCTCATGAATTTCGTATTTACCAAGTAAAATTACGTCCCTTTAGTGAAAAAAAGAAAAAGTTAAATTCTTTAAAATTGTTTGCTATTCAATTTAATAAAGATTCGACTAGAGCTTATTAGTCCTCGTCTTGCGTCGCTATAATATCCGTGCTTGGTTCTTTATGGCCCTAAATGTATGTTTAACTTCTATAAATTAGCTTCGACGAATCGCCGGGCTGGCGTTGGGTCGGGATTTTCACATTAGCGGCACAATTACCGTAAAGCTCCGAGAGGAAATGAACTGCAAAATACGAGACGCAGGATAGTAAGACGGCGTCTATCGCATCGAAGATACCGCGGCACGACGGTAACGCGAAAGTACGCGTGGAATATTCGAAGGGGTTCGGATATAAAGTCGAAAGGGGTTCGCGATCCCATGTCGGCGGGGGCTGTTTGCCCTTGCGATCGAAAATATCGGAGTGCACTTGAAAGTTTCGCCAGGTCCGCCATCCGTGCGGATAGGATTAAAGAAGTTATTTGCGAGCGCTACCGCGCTGCGGGGCACGCGGAGAGGAGGGAGGGGTGCCGCATCTGAATTTATTATTTATCCGGAAGTCGTGCGGCTGCCGCGCGCGCTGGTATTCATAGCGGAATTCGTGATAGGCCCGCGGCAAGCGCGAATATTATTCTCCTCATGAATTTTTGAAGGCGCCCGAGTCGCGGGTGTAAAAATAGATGTCTGTGCGACGTTCGATATCGGACGGAGCCCGCGAATCGATAACGTCGGGCGCATGTGCTAATTTCGCGCGTTCGATGGCACGTGCATCCTCGTCGCATCCCCGTTCGGCCGGTCTCGCGGAATTTATAATACAGGACAGATCGACCTTCTCCGGACAAACCGAAATCATATTCACTCGTTCCTTATTCTACTTCAAACGATCTCGAAAATAACATCTTATAATCACGCGTCTCAAGCTAGCAAGAAAGTTATTTTTGCACGCTGAAAAACAAAGTGGCGGAATCAACGAAATTTCGTTTGGCCAAAGTGAAATCTTCTCAAGCGTAACGTCCATCGAACCCGAATTCAGTCGGCTGAACAAATTATTTGCAGTCGCTGTAATGAGTTATCGATTGAATTAACGATTGCAATTCGGCCAGTAACCGTATCGACGCAACGTATTGTCGCACCAGCGCGTAATTTGTTCAACCGACACTAAATCTGTTTGAACGATGATAATCGCCGATCTTGTCGATCCAATCGCTCCTTTCTCGCTGTAAGAAGTGCTTATAATGTCACTGACAGCAATCTCATGTGCATCATGATAATTGCTATCATTATTGTTTTGTTAGAGAAGACGATAAAAAGGTATGGTTGAAAAATGACTCTGAATTTCGCGTCGAGATCAACGCTTCTTTCTCGCTCGGTGTGCGCGTGTCCCACGAGTACTCGTCGACCTGGAAGTAAATGCCGGTCGATGCGCGGTTTTCACGGTCGCTTACCATCCTCGAGCGTCGTCGCTTGAACTTCCTGCGTCACGGGACCGGGGCCGAGGGCGTTGAACGCTTGAACGACCACGCTGTAACGCGTGTACTTCTTCAAGTTCGCCAAGTGATGCTGCCGCCCGGGCATGGACGTCCTCGCCAAACCCAATGCGACACTCGCCGTCGAGATCCGTCTTTCCACAGTTTTGTACGTGTATTGCTCCGCGCCGAACCTGAATTTCACGAGTCTTCGTTACACCCTGGCTGGTGTGATTAATTAGTTTACTGGGACGAGGGAGGGAGGTGTCGAGTGTCGCTTTTTTAAGCCCAAACTTGGCGGAGTGGAGGCTTAAAGTTACTTAAAATTAGATTAGAATATAAAAAAAAAAAATACGACGATGCGACATAAATTCGCCGAATGGGATGTGAAACGAAGGAGCGTTATTTCTCGCGCAATATTACCGTTTATGAAATTCATCAACAATCAGACGTGCACGACGAATGCCTGAAAATGTAAAGACGCGTTTTAATGATAAATATCCCAAATTGAAGTCGCAACAAGTTTGAGCGAGCGACTCGCGCGAGCTACATCATCGAGTTTACTGCGGAACTATAAACCAGCGCGCTCGAAAAGCATGAAAAATTGACGACGATGCATATACAATGGCGTGTAATAAACGCAATGCGATGAAACGATATAAACAAAACGCGCCCCCCCCTCCCCCCTCGGTGGAGAATAAAACGCGGGGGTTTTTCGAGGATTTGTCGCGGTGTTGCTTCTGCCGGATAAATAACCGACCCCGAGATAGTACGTCGTTTATTAATGGCACGCGATTCTCTGCTATCTATGGGCGAAATCCAGAGAGTCGGGGTTTTTGACTATCGCACACGTGTGGGTGTACAAACACATACATACACACGCGCCTCTCTTCGCGCTGGCAAACTCGTATTTGTCACGGCGCGTCTCGCGGAAACAACGGCGGTGTTTTCGGCCGTTACCTCTGTTCCTTGTAGCCGACATGATAACCAAGTATCTCTCCGTTCCATAAATCATGATCGGGTGGGTCCCAGGTGACGTTGAACTCGGTCGAACTGATGGGATCAACCTTGAGATTTCGCGGCGGCCCGCCCGGCTTCTCCCCTTCCGTCGTTGCCTCTAAAATCTGGAAAAAAACCGGAAAAGCCCGCTGGTAGCCCCCGGCGCAGCCCGTTCACTTTCGCCTTCATTTTCGCCACGGCGATTTTTTTCGTTTAAATAAATCGCCTCGAAACTGAAATCCTGATTTTTTCTCCCAATTTTTCAGCCCGCGGTTAATTCGAGACGCGAAATTCGCCGAATGACAAAAACCGTGATCCGGATGTGTGGCCTGCGCTTTTTTCGTTATTTCATTTTGCACGCGATCGAATTTGCCTCCTCCCCCGATAACGAGAGCGAGTTGAGAGATAAAAGAAAAATTACACCGTTCAAACAGGGCGGAATCGCGCGACGAAATAAGACGTAAACGATCGCAACGGCAATCGCGGTGACGGCGAGCAATCGGCGGCAGTTAACGGCGGCTGGGAAGAATCTTTAATTCCAACATCCGGCGTTCGGGGAAACACGCGGAAAGAGGATCGCGCGTCACCACGGGATTCCACGGCGATAGGAACGAATTCGGTCGGATGCGCCCGATATTTCACTTCAAAGCGTCGCGACGCTCCGCAGCCTGTTTTCCTTAAACGCGAATTCTTCCTCGCGGCGAGGACGAAGAAAAAAAGGAGCATGAGAGGGTCGATATGCTCGAAAGGGCAGCGGCGCAATTTAAATCCAGGCCAACGATGCGCCGGCATATTCGTCGAGAGGCGACGGAAAAAGAAAGAGAGAGAGAGAGATTCGTTTCGCGAGGTGAGATAGCTTTTTTTACGCGCGCCTATCGATCGACGCCCGGTCCCCGACCTGGGTGTCCCAATTGTTTTAATTCTCGGGGGCGAGAACGAGCGAGAGTCAGGGTGAAAGGGAAGAGGGAGGGTGGTCGGCGACGAAACGAGCGTCGACGAGAAGGATTTGACTTGTAAATGCCCGGTCGGTTCTGGCCGATACCTACGTCGCTCGCTTGACTCCGACCTAGTTCGTTGTCCGCGTATATCCGGAACTGGTAAGTGACCGCAGGACGCAAGCCGCTCACGTGGCCATGAGCACGTGTACCCGGCACCGTCGTGTGAAACGTGTGATCGTGCCACACCTCTGAAAGATAGAGCGGTCATTCCAGAGGCGATAATCCGGAGAATCAATGGCCGGAAACGTGCACCGAGAGAAAATCGCTTTTTTCGACGCCAAACGTACTTTATAGCAGTAATATACATGTAAGCTTATGGTAACACATACTAGCTAAATTGTCCTCCTGACTATTCTTTGTTGATTAAAAGATATGTTTGGCGCCGAAACCAACTATAATTTTCTATTAGTGCGGGCTGTTCGAAAGTGTCGCGCACTGGTCCGCAGAGAATTGACTGATTCTTATCGGTCGTACATTATAATTTTGATATTCCAGGTCATTATTAGTGCCCGACGTTTCCGCTGCCATATCGATTCATTGGGTCGTCTATTACTCCTACGTCGAGTTTCCACAACGTCGAGTCGAGTTAACCGCGACGTTACGATTACACTCACCTGATTCGGTTTTGTACTCGATTATATACTGGGTGATCGGACTATTCCCGTCCTGACTGGTCGTCCAGCCCAGGTTGATGTGACGACTGCCCTTCTCGATCACGTGAAGGTTCCGTGGGAAATCTGGGGGTTCTGTGCGCAACATTGATATCATTTCGCTGGATCCTTCATGTCCAATGGTGTTCAAGCAATTTCCCACGATCTGATCTTACAGGCGTATGAGAATACACGAATATTCTCATCTAACATATTTCTTCAAATATTTATTCCCTCAATTAAAAAGAATCTACCTTATTAATGAGAAAGGAAATTTATATTAACGGAAATTTTCAAGAATTTGCCCAAGATGTGATCCCGACATGATTCCACCCGCGATACAGAATCGCATTGGTTTAATTCTCGCGAGCGTGAAATTAGAGTTTGATAATTAGTTGAGAATTCCCGTCTAATCCGGTGCGCGCGTCGCGTCCGACGGAATAATTTTCAGTTACGGCACGATTGTCGCGTCCCCCCCCCCCCCCATTATGCATATTTCACGGNCCGGCACAATACGTCCGCTCGAAACGTATCTCATTTTGGAGAACACGTACGCGCGCGAGAGCCGCTGCTCATCTATCTCGCGGCGCGCGTACTTGCGCGGACGTACATTAAATTAAATGGACGCGTTGTCGAGTGCCTGTATACATTACGATAATTACATGCAGCGGAATAGCCCCACGCATAAACATCTGGCGATGCCCCGAAGGCAATACAGCGATAGCTGGCTTCGTAATAATTTCATGCGTTCCATTAATAACCTTATACCTTTACGCTGACAATTATTAACGTTGCTGCTCATTATCGCGATTATTTTCGTCGTTTTATCCCCCCCCCTCCACCGCTTCCGCGCTCTTTTTTTAGCTGATGTTGCTAAAATTGCTGGCTTGTTACCGCTTCGTTCGGCCGGATTTCCACATTTATTTTCGTAATTTGACGCGCGCAAGCGGCCCCCGAGAGCTTTCCCTCGGAATCCAGATAAATCTGTTTTCTGTGTCCTCCTACCTTGAATATAAAGATGAATCGTCATCTCGTCGCGGCCGTAGGAATTGGAGGCGATGCAGAAATACCTTCCGCTGTCTTCTCGGCTGGTGCTGACGAAGCCGAGGACGCTTATGGTGCCGTCAGTGGTGTTGTCCTCTTTCAGAGTGTAACGGTAATCGGGAAGTTTCGGCTCCAATTGGGAGCCGGCTTTCTTCCAGACTATTTTCAACGGATGATCGCCCTTCGCCTCGCAGCGCAACGAGGCATTCGAGCCTAGCCGCGCCGTCTGGTTGCGATGTTTCTCCACGAAATGCGCGGGAACTGCGTCAGGGAACAGTGCACGTGCAGAATCGAAGCGTGCGTTTAGTTTAGAATGCGGTCGCTGTCTCGAAGTTGTCTCTTGATCAAATTGGACTTTCGCGGAAAATGACGAATGTATCAGACTGACCGATAATGTGGAAAAATTGACAAAAACGGAAAAATTCCCTCGCCTTATCGAGTTAATTAAGTTTGGTTAATATCGTATTCTAAGTAGCTTATCGACTTTAAAATCGACTCATGACGTCTTTTTATAAAGTGTCTTAAATATATGTCTTAAATACGTTTGATGATGCGATTTTAGATGTAATGCTGTCTGGGATAATGTAATTTAATATTACAAATTATATTATAACGTTATATTTTAATAAATTATGTTTTTAAATGGATCTCCTATTTTACAGCTGATTTGGAATTAAGTTTTCATTTGCCTTCATTGGTATCTCATTTTTATAGAAGGAATCAAAGTTTGGAAATCTGGAACTCAGAATTAAAAGATGCGCATGTTTATGTGTTTACACCGAATTTATATATTTACAGTATTTATACCGAATTATATCGAATTTCTATATTTACACTCGACGTTATCTTCCAAGACACATTATCGAAAATACGCTTCACGCTAATGTTTGCTCTGAAAACCAACAGATCGTGCTCTGCAGAAACTCCAAAGTGTCCGAGCAATTTGATTATTTTGTTAGAAAATATTTTCCCGTTGCGTCAGTAGGTCAAAGCGGATTTAATTGATTTCATGGGCCAATTGTCACGTCGCCGATAATACTCGGAAATTCCGTGAAATCCAATTAGGGCTAATCACCAATTAGCGGAGGAATAAGCTTTCCCAGGGGAACATCGGGGAGAACATTTTATCTCGTGAGTTGTTAATATTAAAGCACTGTCAATAACCGCAAGTAGTGAGAAATAAATAAATAAATAAAGCGTTCCACGCTTATCGTAAGAAATCATTTCTTTGCAATCAGACGATAAAGAGAGAAATATCGCTGCGTTTCAAGCGAAAAATAGAATTGCAGTCAAGTAACCCGAATTGGGGAGGCTTTTCACTTTTATTGAGAGAGTTCTTCCACCCTGTGACGCGGGGTGAATTTCAGTTATTTTCTACACAAAAATAAAAATCGTATTTCACATGTTAAATAATATAAATTAAAAGAATTCACTCTTTTTAGGACAAAACGTTCACTCCGACCGAACGAAATATTCATTCCAAACAAATGAAACATTCACTCTACAGCGGGAGTGGAACATTTACTCTTGTGAAAGGTGGAATGTCACTCCATTCCGATATTTTCACTACCGCTCGGAGTGAGGTTTCACTTCAAGAAATTTAGAGAGTAGATAGCAGAGATTCGCTGAAAGAATCGGAAATTTGTGGACGTACCGTTGACAGTGAGATATACGACTTTGCTGAGTCCAGCTCCGATCCCGTTCACAGCCTCGCACAGATAGAAGCCCTCGTGGTCCTCCTGCACTCGACCGAATACCAGTGACCCGTTGGAGTGTATCCTCAGATCCTGCATGTGTTCGTGGCTGGCTATGTCGTGATAATTGCCGGGTTTCTTGCCGCTGCCGCGTCGCCACGTGACCAACGGCGGCGGGAAGCCATCGGCGTGGCAATGCAGGCTCAACCTGGGCATCCCTTCCGACGCATGGGCATCCTGCGGCTCCACCACCCAGCGTGGCGGCACTGATCCACAATGCACGATCATTAATCGATTGCCTCAGGTCGTCCCCTGATATGTGAATGCCACTACAGCGACGCGGTACGGGAGTCCAATCGATTTATTCCGTTCGTCCCGATAAGATTCGCGCGTGTCCCTCCACCGCTTACGGCAATTCGTGAATATTGCAAATTTCTCAACACCGAAGATTTCGACGAAATTTTTTCATTGTAAAACTAATTTTCCGTTTTCACCAAAGCGGCACGTTTGATGTTTAGAGCGATTCAGATCGATTTAAGCAGCGAATGTATTTTGAAATAACAATATATGCTTCATTCAATCTCAGATCGAGATCATTTTCATTTCAGACGGTTAATTATCTTTTATGAATAATCACCGTTAATCAGAGGGAGACGGACTCTGATCAGATCTTCTCTAGGTATGATCGTGGATCGAATTTTCGTCCGGACGAATAATTAAGCCGAGAGATTATTATTAGCGTAACTGATCTCGACAAAATCGCGTCTTAACGCGAACATCGAATTTGCGCGGAGACACACTCCCGGACCCCGTCGCGCATTTTTCTACCTAAGCTTATTGCGCCGAGGCAAGAGCGAAAAGTTCCCGGGGAGAGGATTGGCCTACTGCAACTTCCTACTTCAGCCGCGAAAGTAAAGAAAAATAGGATTTGAAGGTATGCGCGAGGGAGAGAGCTGGAGTGCCCTCTCGGGATTGCGGATAAACGGCGCGAAACTTTCGCTGATAAAAATTACGGACTGTCCGCCAAATGCATTGGCGAATTGCTTTCCCTCTCTTTTTCTCTCTCGCTCTTCCTCCCTCTCTCTTTGTCTCGTGCATATTGTGACGAGAGAAAAAATGGACACACAGAGAGACAAGCAGAGAGATTGGAGAGAGAGAGAGAGAGAGAGAGAGAGAGAGAGAGAGAGAGAGAGAGAGAGAGAGAGAGAGATAAAGGAATAGGGTGGAAGAATGGAGGGAGAAAAGTGCAGAGAAAAACGGTGCCAAATGCGCGCGGTGGAGGGTGTATTTTTTTTCAGTGGCGACAAACGGTGAAATAATATCGACGATAAACACCGCGATAACCACAGAGAACAGAGCGATACGATAAATCGGTGCTGTGCGAGCATTTCGACCCAATACCATATACGAATGTGCACGATCAATTGTTGCGTACAAATATACACAGTGCGCAAAATGTGCGCGTCTCGCCGCCGAACGTTTGCGCGTCGAATTATTCGCGCGATCATTTGCATAATGCGCTGTGTATTTATGCGTTAGCGAGCGAATTATTGCCCGGTTGCGATTAATAATTGAACGGTCGAGCGGACGAAGGATATATCTGCATGTGTCGTACGTGTAATTGTAAAAATTGAGCAAAAGGATTTGCTATTTCTCTGGATCTGCTGTGTTTAAGAAATGTCACGTGCATTTGTACGCACACGATATCAGATTATCGAGTGAACGAGCCAATTATTAATTTCGTAACGCCACGACGATTATACGTTTCCGCGACAATATAGATTAATATCATCGCGATTCTTGGATTCTTCGGTCCTTCCGTTCCCTTCAATGTGGTAGCGATTTCGCATCAACAACCCGCGTGTGCTTTTTCTTTCTCCTTTCGTTTCTCTGGCAAACGTTCGGAACGAGCGAGACCAGTTCTTCTCGGTGCGAGGCGAAATGGATAGGTGGCATACGAATTTTCGTGACGTCGGGGAAAAAAGAAAGTGTAGACGGAGGAAAGAAACGAGGAGCGAGCGTCGCGCAACGGGGAGCCGGTGCCAAGGGATTAGTGGCGCTCGGGACCAAATAAGAGAGAAAAATAACTGAAAAACGTGTCAGTGCAGATATGCGTGTGCTGGGTGAAGTGAACGTGACTCGGTGCTCCAAATTGAACTACGAGATTGCTGCTGCTGCTGCTGCTGCTGTTGCTGCTGCTGCTGGCTCGTCTAACTCGCTGGCTCAAGACGGAGTGGTGCTATATGCGAAGCCGAATTTCGTAAAGTGCCTGTTGGCCCTCGCATGCAATACATCGTTCATTCTACACTACTGCGATCGTATCGGACACGACAAACGCACGGACTTCGTATCGGCCGGCGATCGGCCTCTCAATTATTGTTCGGTTCCCTTCTTCGTCGTTCGGATATGTTAAGAACGAGACACGATGCTTAGCTACGACAAGTGAACGTAAACATTTGAATGAGTAAATATTGATATTAGGTACTTGCGGAAGTTCGTCGGGTCGTCGATAATCTCGCCGACTCGAAAAATGAAGTCAGATAACTGCCTGAAAGGTGGCAGATAATGGTGGACGCCGGTGACAGATACATTAATTAAATATGGCGCTTACTGCTCCGTTATTACTGATAAAATAAATATGGCAAGAAGCAGACAAGCGTTCGCAAGTACGCAAAACGAATCTCTTCGTATTCCATCTCGTGCTAATGTCAAAATTGTTCTTTGATAATCACAGAGATCGCTCTCAGCTCGTCTTTCACCCATTATTATTCTCGTATTGCGATATTATTATCTCAATATCGACGTTACACATAATAGCGACATGTTACTTCTCATTCCATATATTATGTATATTTCTGCATCCCACGCGTCGTGTCTCGTTTCTTACATCAGTGGTACCCAATACGACATCGGTCGGCGTATTTGAGTCGTGAGTTTTCCTGACGACCGCGCACTTACGGAGGCACAAATTCTCATCGAAAGAGGAAAAGAACGCGTCGCTATTCCCGCCAGGTTTTTCACGAAGCCTCGGCTGTCGATGTCGGTTGGGTACCCCTGCGTTAGACACTCGCGAAATTAATCGCGTCCGAGGCGATGTGCGATCGCAGTACTTAATTATCGCGACAAGGGGCAGAGAGAGGTGCGAGTTGGACGGTGCGCTCGTGTTAGATACATATCTAGATGGAAAATATACGGTGACCGTGGGGGTGAAACGCTATATTATGCTGTGCTCAAGTGCGTTGGTGCGACGGATTGTTGGCTGGGCGGCGGCGGCGGCTGCTGCTGCTGCTGCTGCGTCATTTCGCGCGTATCGTCTCGAAAAAAGGACTCTAGAGCTGCGTTTATCCGGACGGCGCTGTTGTCCGTTTATCCGGATGGCGAATTGTTCCGCGCATCTCGTGTGTATCCGAGTAACGCTCGCGCGCGATATGCTCGCGCGAAAAAATCCCCGGCCGCGACTCTCGAGAATTTAATGGGAGAATCTCGCGGACAATCTCGCTCGCCGCGGATACGGAAGTACTGAACAAAATATCGAAGTGAAATCGAGAACATCGTGCGCGGAAGAACAAAAAGTGCTAGACTCAATGTGAATAATTACTCCAATATTCCTTAGCAGATTTTTACCTGGATCGAGTAATAAATTTGCTTGATCCAAGTGAAATATTTGCCAAATCAAATATATTCACTTGGTCTAAGTAAAATTTATTTAACACGTTGAGCGCCAATTTCACGTGGCTTTCCACTCAGGCCGCGTGGGCGTCACGACCTATGTTATCGTATTTTTTATTATAAGATATATCTTATAGTATTTATAAGACTGCAAAAATCTTTATTATACGAAGAGGAAGAAATAACGTAAACTATGTATGTGCGGCCTGAACGGAAAGTCCAACGTGGATCACCGATGACCCACGCAGTACTCGACGTTTTAATCCAAGTGACAATTTGTCGAGGAGTATCGCAGTAATTTACACTCACTTTAAACCAAGCACATTTCATTGCTTTGCAGCTCCGTAACTTGGAAAATGTTCAGGCCGCGCGCGTGCATTATTTCACGAGAGCGAGGGAATCCTGGCGGTAAGTAAAACGGATAAAACATCGATAATTTCACGTTATCGGGTCATTAACGAGTATCTACACGCCGATGCAATCGATGCTGCTCTCTTCTCGTATATCGCATTAAGTCGTCGTAATTTAATAATCGCTTCGCCCCCGGTCCTGCGAGTCAATACAACTTTATCTGCTTCATTTCCCGGACCAGCTCCCACTTCCCATGGGACGTCCCACGCGCGTTCCAGTTAATTACACCGTGCAATATCGGCTAATTAGATCGCGATTATTACATCGCGAACCGACCGGACGACTGCGAGTGTTGTCGGCGGCGAGACGCACGATTTGCTTGGCGGATTCGCGCGGGATCAGCGCGATTTTTCCCGCGATTATCAGCCGCCGGCAATAACGCGTGCGCGGACCCTCCGCTTAACAGCGTGTCTGCGTCATAACTCACGGAGGGAACGGATATTACTTTCGGGCACAAAGCTCGAAAGAGAAAGAGAGAGACCACACCGTCGCGTTCGAATTCCGCGCGCGCGGACGATCGACGTCCTCGCCGATACCCGGATATCCGCTCGGCTACAAAATCCCGAGCATCGCCCGCAGCCCTAGTGTGACTCGCATCATGCTACTTTCCGACAGACGGCTGCGGTGGCTGCTGCTGCTGCGGCGGCTGCGGCTGCGCTTACGTGACGGCGACACAGCGGCCGGCGAGTGAATGGGATCGGAGGGTGACATTCAAATCGAAAACCCCTCCATTTTTATATCGCGGAACTCTCGCCCCAACTGATCGCCAGGAAATTAATATCACGCTCTGCCGCTACGATTGATCTAAATCGTGCCTTTCGCCGCTTCCGTGGCGCGGAGCACCGGTAGACAGTGGATAACGTCGCTCGTAGCCGGGTATCGTTGATTAATCCACGTCTGCATATCGCGAGGTAAAGTTTTATATATGTTTATGTATGAAAACGCAATACTTAATAAAATAAGCGACACAATTATAAGTTAAGACAATCGCTGTTTTTGTCTTTATCAATCGGCAGACAGTTGTAAAATTGACAGAGCTATGTTAAATTTTATGTACTCAAACGCTCACAGCTGCGAAATCTAAAGTGGCGCCAATTAGTGCCGGTTTCCAAAGCATCACGGTTTAAATTTAATCGAACCATTAACTCAGCGGAATCGGTCAATCGCAATTTGATTGTCACAGCCCAGCCGATGCGACTGGTCGATCCCGTCGAGTTAGTCGTCGATTAAATTCACACTACGATGGTAGTAGAAACAGATGTAAATTCTGCCTTCACAATATTAAGCGAGTACTTCAGAGCCAACTCGATTCCTTTACCCTTCTTCATCGTAGACTCCAAGGTCATTATAGGATCGTTTCACCCTACGACCCCATCATCATCGGCCGCCGTCGCTGCACCGTCGCAAAGACAATGGTGCGCTGCCAGGTGCAAGACAGTGACGTGTGAGAGATAGAGAAAAATAAACGAGACACAGACTCGGTGCGTTCCGCGGTAGCTGGCTCTCTACTTTACCACGAACGATCAACTCGGCCGTCCAGAGGACCTCGGCCACCGAATTGCGCGCCAGGCAAGTATAGTTGCCGGTGTGCGCGGCGGTGACGCGCTCGATAACTATGGCGCTGGAATGGGCGTCAATGTTGGTTACGCGCAGCCCAGGTGGTGTCTGCGAGTGTCGGGGATCGTTAACGGTCGCGGCGGCGGCGGCAGCGGAGCCGAAGGCGGCGGCCGCCGTGCCAGGGGCGGAAATCGGCTCGCCGTCCTTCGACCAGATGATCGTGAACGGCGGATCGCCCTTCTCGACCATGCAGGTCACCTGGGCCCGCAGGCCCTCCGACAGGTCCTTCTTAAAGCTAAAGGGAGCTATCGTGGGCGGAACTGCACAAAAAAGAGAGAGAAACAGGTGATTGTGAGTGTGATTGGTGTGCGTGTGTAGGCGCGTACGTGTGGCCCTCGTGGCACCGACGATGACCGGTCCATCGGATGACCTCTCTCTTTCTCGTTGCCGTGGTCGTCGGTCTCCTTCCGCCCGGGGGACGGCGTTACCTAGAGTGCTGGGAGAACATTTTTTCCCCGGCGGTTCCCGATGCATATCTCTGATTGCATCGTGGAATCGCGAGGGTCAGCTCGCGGATGTAACAGTGGATGAGCGAGCAGACGCGCGCTTGCACGAGTCGAGTCTGGTGAAATTATAGTTTTGTAAAACCGGCGTTTCTTTTGCCGATAGAAAAGAACAGGAAGGGAAACGGGGTTTTGCGAAAAAAACAAACTACTTCGTCGCTACTTAATTGCTACTTAATTGCACACTTCGGCCGTGCGGTCGGCGCGCGCGTCGCGGTCTCGGTATTTCCCCGACGATATAGCGCGCGTGGTTATGCCTCGACTGATTAGTAGTGTAGTCGCGTAAGTGTGTCTGTATTGAAAAGGAAGCAACGTTTAATGGAAAAGAAAAGAAAAAAAAAGAAAGACGGAAAGTTGTGAAACAAAGCAGAGTCAAGAAACGGTATTCCGTTCGCGTCGGACGCCGTGTAACGGTGATGCAGACAATTCCCGACTTACGGCGGTCACGGTGCCCGACGGTATTCGTTACAGGAAACGTCCCTCGCGTACGTTTCCCGTTTATTAAGCGCCTGCGAATCATCCGCGAGGCGCCCGACCTTCGTCTCACTTGTTCTCTTTCCCTTCTTTTTTTTATTATCGTTCCACATTGGAACCATCGTCCGCGGCGCAAATCGCGAACAACCCGGGCGACGTTCGTCCGTATCACGGATTACGACTCCACGATGGCGTTGTAAACATCCTAACGTTTGATACGTTACCACGAGTTACCTTCTCTTCCTTCCCCCTCTCGCTCATTCACTCTCTCTCTCTCTCTCTCTCTCTCTCTCTCCCTATGAGTGTTTCGATGTCAGTGTATTTCGCGAAATATGCATGTGGCGAAAACAATCAACCGGAGAGAGAGAGAGAGAGAGAGAGGAAGAGAGAGAGTGGAAGGATCTGCTGCTTCATCCCCAGTTGTCGACTTTTCGACGAGAGAGAAAGAGAGAGAGCGTCAGGGTACACATATATGCGATTACGTACACATATATGCGTACGTCGCGTCGCGCGTAATGCCGCGGAACGACAATAATAACCTGCCTCGTTGCACCGTGTGATACGAATACAGGATGCATCCGGGGTAGAGCCCCGGGGGTATTAGAACAGAACGCGGTGGTTGTTTGAGAATAATTGAGGAACCGCGGTAGGGAACTAGATAGCGCAACGTAACGTGAGTAATGCCCAAAGAGGTCTGTCGCGCGTATGTACATGGCGTATATATACATATGTACATATGTATATACATATATATATACATATATATATATATATATATATATATATATACACACATATAAGTATGTACATAAACGTCCCCCCTGTACATGTACAGGAACGTGGTAGATGGTGTAGGAAAGGCGATGGAGAGATGCTACGACGACGGTGGTGGCGGCGGAGGTTGCGACAGCAACAAAGAAGCTCTCGCTGGGAGACGCGTTGATAAATTTCGTCGCATAGTTTCGGGAAGTAGCGCGACGCGCGAGTTACTCCCTCGTCTCGGCAAGATAATTTGGCGGTCGGCGTCCTTAATTGGCGAGTGGCATTATCGATTGCGCGAACACGTCAAGTTAACCCGCGCGCGTCCCTCCAAGATTGAAATCACGAGCGGTCGAGACGGGCCGCCGCGTATGCTCGAGTCGTCGAATTAAAATATTTCCTACGCTCGTACCCAGGGTTTGGGTTTTTTTCTTTTCTTTCTTCTTTTTTTTTTCTTTAATTCCGAACGCCACGAGAAACCATGAGCGACGCATTCGCAATTTATTTAATGGCCGGAATTACCAGGGAATTGAGCGGTTCGCGCGAGATGGCGATATCCTCGCCCGGATATCTCATTGCACGTTTACTTTCGAGCGCTATTCAACGCCATTTTTAATTAAACTTAGTTATCTAGATATTTACTTCCGAACGCGCGCTGAGAAGACGAGAGAAGGAGAGAGAGACAGAGAGAGAGAGAGAGAGAAAGAGAGAGAGAGAGAGAGAGAGAGAAGCGGCGGCTCCCGGTGGAACTTTTGCCCGAGGTAATTTCACAGCGAATTCATTAAGGAGCGGATGAGGCTTTTTTTGCGGCGATTCATAAACACACGTGACTTGTGTCTCCTACCAAAATTAGAAATGAAGGTGGAATTGTTTTGAAGAGAGAAAAAGTAATAAAGAAAAAGAAAAAGGAGAGTCACTTTCTACCAGTGCGCGCTCACCGGCGCGACTGCTCGCGGCTTAATTTCATTCCGCGCGTGCCAAGGGTACGAGTAAATAAAACACGCGTATAAGAGACGAGCGAAGAGAGGGATGGGGCACGATCTGTCCACCCCTCCGCTCGCCCGTTTGTTCTTTGCTCGTCGGCGAAACGCGGAAATCACCCTCGGGCGACTTGTTCGTCCGCGTTGTCGACGTTGAACTCCGCTCGCCGTTCCGCCCGCGGCGATTTGCCCGTCGAAAGAAGAAGCGCTTTTAATGCACACACACACACGTGTCATACCCCCCCCCCCCCCCNGGAGGAACGTAAACGCGGACGGGCGGCTGCATATAGGGTACGTCTCGTCGGCAAAGGTTGTAATACACATCGCCCATCGACGACTACGGATGTGTACAGGCCGTCCCTTATTTTTCAGACCCTTTGAGTGATAAATATCTCGACGCTATTTTTGCCTCCTTTATAATAGAACGGCGGCTCGATGTAATCGAGCGCGCGGTGATCATCGATTGCGTTATCTTTGACGGAGAGCTTCCCGCTTTTTACTTTACGCGTCGCGTCGAATCACGCCCGATCGAAAACCCCGTCGTTCTTTTTTCCGCCCGGAAAAAAGAAGAGGAAGAAGAAGGAGGGGGTAAAGTGAAAAAAAAAAGGATCAGACCACTCCTCTCGAATTCCCGGGGAAATTCGAGACTGCGTTTTCACTTCTCGCTTCGCGGAACGCGATCTGTCACGATATATCTGTTCGCGCGCGAAATTCGCGCGGACATGAGTGGCCTCGATTGAAGAGTCTCGCGCGTCGATTAATAGCGACCGTCGCGTTTTCCCCCTTATTTTTCCCCGTTACGGCTCGCGAACGATCGCCGACAGGGACGCGCGTGAGAGCGCGGCGCAGAGAGAGAACTTTCAGGACGGTATGAACTCCGGGGACAGGGAAGAACCTGAGTGCGCTCTGCGCTCGCTAAGAAAACAAAATTGGTCACCCCGCTGCGACCATGGAAATTGATTCGAGGAATCCGGAGCGCCCCCTGATGTCCCGCGGAGAAATTCTCCGGATCGCATGTGCGTGCGCGGAATCTCCGCGAAATGCAACGAAAAGTCGCCAATTCTTGACGAGGGACAATAACTCGAGACTAGAATCCTAGATATAAATAGAGAAGCGAATTTGATCGAAGGTGTATATATCGATCATCTATTTTCCACGATATTTAGCCTGGTATTCATAAACGGATTTTATATTTAAAATCGTTTCAATTCGTCTTCAGGTATTTTGTAGTCAATGAAATGAGTCCTGTTTCTGTTATTCATTCAATACGAAACAAAGGCGAAACGATGCTTGCATCGACTCGCGTTACTAAATGAAAATCGCCCTATTTGTATCTAGGATTCAAAACGAGAGGGTCGCGCGCGACGAAGAGCGTGANGTCGTGCGGGAAATGAAAATCAGAGATATAAAATACGGTTCGAAGAACGAATCGCGAACGGTGTCGCGTCGTTTTCGTCTCCCGTCACGTAAGGGACATTCGGATTCGGGCTTCGAGGGTTGAGGGGTGGTCGGGGAGGCTTTTTCCTCTATGTTTCCGGACACCGGTTGCGTACCATGGACCAAGAGGGAGGCCGTGCGGGACGTTTTGGCGGCATCGTTGCTCGCCACGCACGTATAGTTGCCGTTATGCGCGGTCGACGCGCTCTGTATCCTCAACGCGAGATCGAACTCGCCGATATGGTGAGTGGTAGCCTCCCGCGGCTTCAACGGCCTGCCGTCCTTCAGCCAGCTGATCTTCAGGGGTGAATCGCCCTCGCTGACCGCGCAGGTCACGTGCACCCGCGCGCCCGCCTGGATATTGTCGGGAAAGCTAAACGGATCGATTTTAGGCGGTACTGCAAATTACAGGAAGCACGAGGTTTATTTCAAATCGCGACGACGCACTCCGTCGTCGTTCTTGCCCGACGTCGGCGTCGTCGGAGGGTGGCTCGTGCCGGAGGGACGCTTGCTTGAATCGAGAGGAGTAAAGATCGCCGAAGTCCGTGCCTTGCGCATATGTGGCTGCTAGCGAACGGACTGTCGGTTATGTAATATTTCGGAGCACGTCGAACAGCGGATTCCAGCTCCAAGTAGATGTAGCATCGCTTCTTCCCGCCGTGAGATCGCTCATTTTTCGCTTCTCGAGGAAGAGAATGATTTTCCCCGAAATTCCGCAGGGAACAACGCGCAATTTGTGCGCTCGCAAGTTTTAATTTGTAAGTTCGAAGTTTTCAATAGCCACATATCGCATTTCGCGGAATATTCCCGAGTATACGTTTGTGCATGCACACATACGTGACCTCTGGCAGCTCGATGTCCTCTCGACTCGAAGGATTTGGGTTACCGTTACGTGAGGGAAGGATCTCGAGATTTGTGAGATCTAACGTTCTCGGTAATTGTCGCAAACGCATTTCACATATCCTACCTGCGTGCTTAGCTCGGCGTGACCGCAGCATAAAAGTCATGCGTCTGAAATTGTCATTAGTCCGAGGAAACTTTTCAGGATGACGACTAGCTATTTGAACGCGGACACCGCATTGAAAATTTGCCGAAAGAATATTTGAGGACTAGATCGCGTTATATGTACTTGGAACAACAGTACCTGCGGCCGAATAAAGCGATGTTCCGGTCCGGATTGTACTTTCATCATTACACTTTTACGCTACCGCGGAAAGCGATGTCTGGTCGCATAATGGAATACCCGTCGACCTTCTCTATTTATGAAATAAGAGTACGAAGACAGTTTTGTTTTTTAATTCTACATGTCTCATCAAAAATATCTCATCGGGCACGTCGCTTGAATTAAACAACAACGCGGATACGTACTTTCTTTCGGATTACAATTTATGTTCCCAACGACAATCGCGTTTACGACTATTATAAACGCACTGCGACGGCGATAAATTTGTAGACACGCGTATTTTATAGACAGCACATGAGAATAAACGCGTACGACGGTGCGGCTTGCGAAGTGATTTATCTCACGAAATATCCCGCTTCGAGACAGAAGTCTTACGGCCGAGCGGAGAGAGAGAGAGGCGAAATGAAGCGCGACTGGGATTTCTTTTTAAATCATAGAGAGCTCCCCCGCACTCCGTGTATCACAGACGGCGAGAGACGGCCTCGTTCGATCTCGGAAATAACGCGCACTTGAGCTGCTGCTTCTTCCGTACCTCCATTGTACACGCGGGAACGCGCTATTATACGCGCGAAGCGCTACAAATTTCCCTACGACGATCGTTGCCGGTGTCACGCGTGTATCGAGCACCGGCAAAAGAAAGAAAGATAGAGAGAGAGAGAAAGAGAAACGGAGAGGGAGAGAGAAATTGCCGTGCTTCGATACGCGGGATAAAAATCCACACATTCGACGAAACGCTCGCTATTCCGCGGTCGGCTATCAATTTAAAATTCTGATGCACCATCGGAACGGTCCCTCATAGAGAAATATGCATTCGAATGTTTCATCGATGCGTATTCCAACTCTTTTATCAAACGCTTATCCTAACCCGACTTATCTTGTTCCGCGTGACATCAATTTACCGCTCGTGCGGGGACGTACAAAACGATCACCTCTTACGCCGCTATTTTATAAGCACGGTTATTTTCCCCCGCTGCGGCGGAGTTCGAAACCGTTAAACGTTTGATAAAAATTTGGAAAGCCTCGCGGCTTTCGGATTTAGTGGCGGGATGCGTCGCCCGCACGGCGTGATGCATCGAGCGATTTCTTCCGATAAGTCGACCCGACGTCGTTTCATCGAGGAAGCCTTCGCCGCGATTACGACCGTCGACTTTGCGACCGCGTGGTCCCGAGGGAAAATCCCGATAGAACGGATCGACGTCGTGCGCGCGGGACACTGTTGTTCCAATTTAAACGGATCAAATCGGCGTGCAGAGCGCTGAGATAAAGGGAGAAAGGGAGCGAACGCGCAGGAGCGAGAGACTTTACCTTTGACTTCTATGTGAATGGTCTGCGAATCGGAGCGACCTTGCTTGTTCTTCGCGGTGCACGTGTACGCACCGCGGTCGGTGCTGCTGTCGACGCGATGCAGCACCAGCGTGCCGTTCTGAGACACTTCCTGACGCCGGCTGGTCGGCAAGATTTGGCCATCTGCGAGGAGAAAATCTGCGTTGCTTCACATGCGACGACACATCCTTCGTATAGTAAAAATAATCTCAACGAGCTCCCAAATATTTCGTCGCACCAATTCGAGCGCCGAAAGATGATAAGAATCGGCTTCTGATAATAATAAATGTGTATAAGGCGAAATTAGGGAACTTAAAAATTACACTAGAATCGTTTTGCAAAACATGTGTTTTTCATTGTCCTTTTTATGTAAAAATACATTGAATGTTGAATAAATAATAAAAAGCTCACATTATAAAAAAAGTTTTTTTCTTAATTTATTTACTTCGTATTAAGATTCCATTTACTTAGATCCTCGACTTGACACATGTTGATAAACATGTATGCACCCTCTCAATTGTATGTTTAATTTTAAGAGTACGTGTTCTGGGATATGCTAATTATTCACGATTATTCCTTCAATATTTGGATTTTTAAGCATAATCTTTTTTAACATTTGAAACCATCCCACATTTACACTCCTTCCCCTACTGAAATATGTAAAGCATTTATTAATAGAGTCCGCTCGCGACACCGTTCGCCATGTATCTGCAAGAGTATCACTCCTTCCGGCAAAAGGAATGCGTATTTCAATTGAATATGGAAATCGCAGTTTACGAAAACACGACGCTCCAGTTTAAATTATGCGTTTGCTTTGCGCCGTGGCGCGACCCACGCGACCATAGCATTGCGGAAATGTGGTTTTCCACTGATTTCGCACGACATTGGCGACGTCACGGTGCAGTCGCGTGTTCAATCCGCTTTCATAGCCGACGACCGACTTTGAAATTGTTGTCGAAGTGAAGTCACCGTGGTGAATATCGTGCTCATATAGGTGAACGCAGATAAACGCAAAAATAGATAGCGTCGGAAACTTCTACATTGATCAAGTAAATTTCGATTCGAGTACTTCTGATACAACCATTCTATTATAATAAGAACGATAATTTATTATGTAGAATATTTTTATTTCAACAATCGTCTGACGAACTTACCGAAGATAAGGAGACACCCGACAGCCGAAATTTTGAAGTTAGTGTAAGTTTCGTGTAAAATAATGCTGATTTGTGTCTATGATAACGTTTCTTGTGCCGCAAATCTCCTCCTGAATTTGCCGAAGCCTTGTTTTCATGTCTGTTTATCTGCGTTATCGTCTCGAATCCAAATCTAAATCCTTATTGATACATTGTCGGACATACAACTATATTTGATCACGTAACTCCTCACTTCTCGCTTCTATCGAATCTCCAAATCCTGTCGAAAGTGCAAATTTCAATAAACAAAAAGGAAGAAAAGAGAAAATAACGAGGAGAGAATAGGAAGAAAATTTGTTATCTTACTTATCCACTTACCCGCTAATTTGTATTAGAAGTTTTTGTTTAAATCTCAATATAGTGGAAACACGAGTAACTATTTGTAGCTATTTGTATAGCGTTATACTCCGAGTTTCTCCATTAATCCTTCAAGCGCGGAATTCGCAGGGTTAATGTGAAACCAACATTTCGACTCGGTTATGACTACGTTTCGAAACATTTCCAAACACGAAAATTGATACCCCGGGTTACGTCATTCGACATTTTCCTGTATTGTCGGAAGCAACGGATATATTTCAGGCGGCTAAGTTATACAGTTCATCCTGTAGCGAATCGATAAATCTCTTCCGGCTGCCGGATATTTTCGTGAGTCCTTAAAAAGCATTGTGTCCGTAGTGCTTAATGGGCCAAACGGTCGTAGGTGATCGTGCGTCGTCGCGACGCCAACGACGGAGGTTGGGGGG